AATGTTTTCCTAAAATAGCTTTAATGGCAAAATGTTTATATGTATTTTAGATGCTTTTTGTAATCAATTTGAAATTTTGTTACTTGCAAGACTCTTTTTTTAATAGCCATTAAACATTAGATGTATAATGTTTTAAAACATGCACCGTTTTGTTTTTAGTGGCAACCATAAGACACAGATAAAGATGCAAACAAAAATCACATATATACCTTAAATAATTATCAGAGATTAATTCCCATTTCCATGTGTAATTTTTACCCCTTGACAAATGTACATGTGGATATCGTTTAGCAAACGTATCAGGAATCACCATTAAAACATTATTCATCGTGTTATTTTGCATGCTCTTTCATTATATTTAAAGACATTTAGAAACAAAATCACACAATTTGGTATATTGCCCATTTTTAGTCGAAAATTAATTCCAAAAAGTAATACAAAATAATTTTATTTTACATGCAGCCTACTGATCTTTCTTTTGCACTTAATCCGTTTATTCTCCTGTATTTTGACAATATTTGCTCCAGAAATCGATCTTTGAAATAGTTTGATTTATATTAAGTAGCATTAAAACTTTCCTGTGAAACAGTTGTAAATGAAAAGTGGTAAATTCTTACAATTTAGCAGGGTTTATCACAGATCAAGAGGTTACATCCTTAGTGAAGTCAATCTCAACCTTGATAAATAATCCATTTCTAAGGTTCAAGTTCTAAAAACTAACTCTTTATCACTGAAATTTTAACCAAGTATCGCTATAATAAAAGATAAAAAGCACCAATGGTAGATATGTCTTTATGGAGATTGTCTGTTCTATACTGTATTGTAACTTATCAATAACTTTCTAAAATTATGTTTATTCAGATATTTTCAGTACAAAAATAAAAAAAATATACGGAAGATAATATTTTTCGCATAAACACATTAGACGTATTCTATCAATTGTGTACAAATCAATTTCTACACAATACACCTTAGCTACACGGTACATTATGAATCTTACCTACAAAAAAATTCTAGGTAATGCTATCTTTCTTATTCCCTATGTTTTTGAGACCAACTGAGTAATACTATTTTAACATGTAAAAATCTTTCAGTCATCCATTCTGATTGATTTAAAATTTATGTTTCCTCATGACCAATATTGGAAAAGAGGGTAACAAATGTGTTTTTCTATAATGTTTCCGTGTTAATATACCACTTTTGACTAGGTTTATTTAATTGTCCATTATGATTGATAGAAACTGAAATATATCAAGAAACGCGTACGTTGTAGAAACCTAACTACGTATGTCAGAGACCTAACTCAGAGTTTAGGGTCAATTTTTTTTTAATTTTTTTTTTATTTTTGTATTTTTTTAGTTTCTGTTGTAAATCCTCAAAGAAAAAAAAAATAAATTTACGATCATCAAAATGCACTTAAAATTCATAACTATTATTACACAGTTTATCTCTAAAAAAAGTCGTTTTGTTGCGTACATGATAATCATAATAAATAGATTAATATAAACTTGTTTCATTTCAACAATTTTCCTTTATAAAATTGATACATAATATTTGTACATCAAATAAAGAAAACATCTTTTCAACCATAAATTTTCTGTAATTTGAAGTTTAAACAATTCTTAGTTGTGGAGGGATAGCAAGAAAATACAACAAAACTCCTTGTATTGGAAACGGATACATGTGACACGTTAATATTTCTTTTTCCGCGTGAATATCACTGAAGTTTTTCTCGGCAAACTTAACCCAATCTGTCTGCCACATTTATAATTCACAGTATATACCTGACATTTTACTGTACCTAACGATTTCCAAAATCACGTACATATTTTTTAACACTAACATTGAAATAGACTCAAGTATTCGTGGCAAAATTTTTGACCACGTGTATTGGCAATCCTTAACCAAAGAGAGGGAACCATATATAAAGATTGAATATGCAGTTTTAACAAACAACTCATTCATGAGCAGATTAATGTCGCGTTTTCTTGATTGAGAACGTCTTACATAATAAGCTATTTATGCAATTTATTAGTCATCAACAATTTCTGCAATTAAAATTATTCCACATACTTTTCAATCTGAATCACCCCACCCTTGTTTTTCATTCATTGAATATTATGTAATGTTTAAATTAAGCTATCCATCAAATATGGATTTATCTTATTTTATTTACTTATTTCATTTGTTAATTTTCTTTACATTAGTGTGATGTAGTACAAATGAACACAAAAAGTGGAATGATAAGTACATGTGTTGCATTAAATGTGTTCTAAGAGTGTTAGTAGGTCAAATGAATAAAGCATTTGGTCAAAGAAACATTAAAAAAATCTATAGTTTATACATCTCTCTGCATGCAGATTTATTAATTTTTATTGCAACAACTCTTCACTACAAGGTTTCTCCTAAATTTATTGTAAAGAAGCACCAATTCATCGATTAAAAATATATATGAACTCCTTCATTTATTGCTATTTAATCTTGGTTTCTAAATTATTCTCTTTAGTCAAATTGACCATAAATAATAAATGAATATGTGGAGGTACAGTTAAATAAACCGATTCCGTTTTTAAGCTTTATTAATAAAAAAAAAAGTCGTAAAAAAATTAAATAGAATTATTTGATAAAATATTTTATTATTTTAGTTCAGAAAAAATATTTCAAATAACATTATTTACATAAAATCAAATGTATAATTTAGTGTTGTTGTATAACTATACGCACACACCATTTCAAAAGGTTGACATTGTCATTACGTACCTACAAAGTTTGTAAGTTTACAATTCTTTTTATCTCCTAGGGCCAACCAAGAAAGCCCCAGAACTGAGGTTATGTGGTACAAATTTAACCACATTTTATCATATTTAAACAAACCATTATCAACACATTGTGACAGAGGTATAAATGTATGGTTAAAGTCGTATCTTAAGTTATTTAACTATGTATTCAACATATACCATGATATACATACTCTTTACGTTGCAATTTCTATTTAACAAATTATACAAATTAAAGTTGATAATATATGAAGAATATATTTTCACTCAAATGAATACCATGAAGAAATTAAAAACTAAAAAATTGTATAAAAGTGTTCAAATAAAAATCAAAAGATAAAAGACGTGGTATTATTTTACATTAATATGTCTTAAAGTTTGTCAACAATCATTAGGTGTTTTGTTTATTGTAATTTGTTTTGTACATTTTCAAAATATTTGACATGCATCTGTTGTTTTCTATCTGATATTTGTACATTTTTTAAATAAAGAATATATTTCCTCACAATATAAAAAGTATTCTGTTTTAATCATTAAAGGGCTCAAATACTGATAAGAATAATATTTATATGAGAAAATTTTAAATATTTTTAGTATATAATATATAAGAAACTAATCTTTGAATTTTAGCATGTAAATAAAGTCATGCTTGCATTCTTTTATAAATTTTGAATAAAAAGTTTTAATTTTTCATATTCAAAAGAAAAACGCTGTGGTTTTACATTGTAAGAAAATTCTGATATAAATTAAAAGTGTTTCTTTTCTCTCTCTCTCTCTCTCTCTCTCTCTCTCTCTCTCTCTCTCTCTCTGTCGTTCAGTCCATCTGTGTGACATTCATTCACATCTCCCCATGTTCACATCTCGCACAGAAAGACGTGCGTCTATAAAAGCAATTTATCGATTGTCTTGTAAACATTATCTTAAAATAGAAACAGCATTGATTAGAGGGAACATATCAATGACCACGGTATTCCAGAGGATTAATTCCCCGCTCATCCAATGACCGCAACACAACAAAATTTTAAGATGGTTGAGGCTGATGGACAACACCACATTCAGTACTTTAATTTTTATTTTACTGCACGGGTTAAATCTTTTTACATCAGGGATTACATTTTGCAATTTTAAAAAAACTGTGTAATAAAAAGGCTTGATACAAAAAAGACTCATTCTAACTTAACATAATTTTCTGTTTTCCCTAATATAGATTTTTTTTAACAAAACCCCGTAAAAACTTAATGATGATAATGGGAAATAATGTGAATTTTATAGATGTAATTAGTCCCTTTCACACTAAATAACAGACGCATTATAAATCATGTCTAAATTATTTATTAAATAAAAGTGAACCAAAATTAAGTACATTTCTTTATTTTGTGCGTATATTTCAAACCACATTTTATTAAATACAGAATACTGAGGTTCAAATCTGACACATGCTTCTACAGAAAGAAATCAACAAACAAACAAAAAATTATGATGTTTGTATTTCTTTCATGGCCAAATTATTAATTTCATATCCACAAACGTTTCATGCTTGTAAAGAACGAATTTATGTCACGCATTATTTTTTTCAATGCAATAATTGTAAATATTTTATTTTTTTCAAAACGCAACACTGTCTATTATTTAAACATGAAATATACCAAGTAGAACAAAAATTGAAATGCTATTTTAATTTTAATTCAAATAAAACTAAACACATGCGATTTTTAAACCTCAGCATTTTTATACAAGATTCCTAAAATTAATACTTACGGCGAAGCGATCATAAAAGCGATATGAACACTACAAATAGACATATTGTTAATTTCAAAATTGCACATGGTGCCGCGAAGCAGCACAAGCTCACACGCTAAAAATATCCCTGACCGACGATTTCACCCGCATTACAAGTGGCAAGGCTTGCTAGCGCCCAGTTTAGTACAAAAACTCTCAACTTTCAATTACAAACGACAGTGCTGGCAACTTAATACTCTCCATTGATTTAAAGAGATCAGATCCGCTGTGGCGTTGTCCATCATGAATAACCCATACAGCACTCCACGTGATTGTAATATAAATAAACAGTTTCTAGATCCCCAAAGCATATAGATTATAAGTAAAACGAGGTCACCACTGAATGATGGTGTTTGCGATAGTTATGCCTTGCAGAAATCTGAATGCGCGACTTCCATTAAAACACAAAAATGCTAAACATAAATCCGGGGTAAATGAATCGTTATAAACATGACCACATGCGTCCCGATTCGATTTGCAGAGTACCTTCGTTCCAGAGAAAGCTCTTCTCCCCTTCCAACACTGGTATTTGTTTACTGGGGAACACTGAAACACGTATGTAAAACGAAAACAGATAGATGTGTCCACGGGGGATTTACAGTCGGCCAATCAAATCGCAGCTAACATTCTTTGCGAGAGACAACCCCGTACCAACAATAATTCAATGTGCCTTGCTTAGTAAACCGCGTCGAATGTGTATGATAAAATCGTTATCGCTCTGTACAGGCGCAGTTTGTGCAGACAGTAGAAAACACTGGTATATGCTTCAAATGGATTTAACATATACGGAATCTCGAAATAAGGTAAGAAAAGAGTGTTTTAATACAATTTAATAACAAATACACACATGACATCTCCTGATTCATATGTGAATCATGTAATTATTTGTGACTAGGAATGTAAACAACAAATTCGGGGGGAAATTTGGCTATGTTCTTGCCGGAAAAGTCTTGACAAGATTTTAAAAGAGCAATAGCAAGTTTCATATACCGAGAGGAATTCTTGTCCTACTAAAAATATAAGAAAAGAATATATCCGACTAAAGACGCCATTTAGGAAGAGACGAAGCTCTGATATTTTAGGCTACCTGTTTTATATTCACCCAAGAACATCTAACCTTTGGAGATAAAAAATAAAGATGAATAAAATGAAATCATTAAAAAATAAATTATGAATTTTACAGGGGTCTCACCCAGGTTAGGAGAAGCAATTAAGGGGAAAATCTATGTTATTTGTAGCGTGTGATAAACCGGACATTTTGAATGAAATAATTCTGTTTTAAATAAATCAGATATAATCAAAATTTTTATTAGAATTATTTAATAAAATATTTAATAGTTAAATATTTTCACAAAAAGGAAATCCCTATCTCAAAATTATTACTGTTGTGCTCACCTCATACATATATATATTTTTCTAATTAAGAATTTGTGTAAAGGCGATTTCTACAACCTTTTAATTAAATTCCGAAATGACTGTACCTTGGTCACTTTAATTTTCTGATGAAGACCACGTAGCTGTTTTCCTCCGACACGACGACATAAACATACATCATTTCCCACTCAGACTTCTCATTTTAGCCGGAACAGTAATAAATTTTTTGCCCACAATTTATTTTTCGTTAATTATAGTTATTGTAGCTATATCATTATGAAAATTTTTTTTAGCATTGAATGAATGATAAATATAAATTAACACGTGTATGGATATAATTATGAGCTACATGAACTAATATCTATGAGAAAGAAATATATATATATATGTATATATAAAGTAGATAATATTAAATTGCTTTGTATAAATCGCAATGAATATAGCGTGATATAGGGCAGTTCAGACATAAAAGTTATTTAAATGCTGATTTTGTTTTGTTGTCGGCTATACCCATACAAAAGCCCCCTATATTTTGAAAAACTGGGCAATGTTAAAAATGATAGATAAAAACGCAAAAGTTTCCATGGTTGAAAAAGCCTGTCATGCGACACAGCTTAGGGTATCCACACTTGTGCGCTTTTTCACAGGCATTCTATTGTACAAGATCAACAGCGTTAAAAACCTGTTCTTCACACAGCCTATATTATTTGGATCAAAACTTTTAAATCATACACAAGGATGTAGTTTGAATTAAAGTAGGAAGAAATTGATTACGTAAGCGCGCTTGAAAAAAAAATCAGGTAAAATGGAGATTATAAATTGGAGACTAACTGTCTGACGCACTAGCAAAATACCAATCAAGTGTGTATTTTCCTCTTTTCAGATATAATGCAATGTTTCAGTTCATGATAGTGATATTGAGAACATGACTACCAGTTTCCCAAAGGATAGTTATATTTTCTCTTGGATTCAATCATGGACGCACCTGTAGATTTTTCATTGGATAGAGCTCGGATTTTGAATGGAAACATTACTTCTTACAATGGGAGTAATTTTAGTGAATCTGGGAGATCTTCTTCTGTTGGAGGAGGAGGAGGGTGTGTTCAGGATCTCAATCGAGGGTCTACAACCCCCTCCACCTCCACTGACTTCCATAGATATTTTCATCCGGCGGGAATTGCTTTGACTGCTCAAGGTATGTCGTCAAAATTTTGTAAGCGAATGCTAAATACATGTGTAAATTGTTACTGGAATAGAAGAACGTTTAAACAATATTTAAGGGTGTTGTTCGAAATTACACATGAATTTTTACCTTAGACACGATATATTACACTCAATTTTTTTTCTCTCAATATTTGTGAAAAACATATGAAGAAAAGAAGAAAATGTTAATGTGCTATTGTACAGGAATGTAAGAAAGGTTCATAATTTTATTCCGAGTATAGAAAATGTAAAAAATAGAATAACTTTAAAAAGTTGATAAAAGTTGTTCAGGGTATCACGGGGAAATTCTTGCCCTTATAGCATTTATTTTCTTATGAAAGTTCGCCATTTGTTCAAGATATTGAAATAACCTAACATTGTTGTGACAGCTTTTGTAAATCATTTCAAAAATGACCCTATGAATCTGAATCTTTTCTTTACTGTAAGATTTAAAGCTCTGCATTGGTCTGGCGATCAATAAGCATCCAATACCAAACCAAATTTCGGTTTTCAAGCCATACAATTTTAGCTTATAACACATTTTCAGATAAAGTGTTATCAGTCTAATTTCCTGAAATTTACTAGTGTAATTTCTGATAGCCGTCGTTATAACTGATAATATTTCAGGGCGCCATAGAAAACATCTGTATGTGAGGAATAAATTTGAACTAGGTTTTTTAACAGTATTGTATATTTACATTGTACATATTTTTAATATATCTAATTTTGGCAACATATATATTATACAAACATGTATGTTCTAGAGAACATTGAATATATTTGTCCTTTTGCTTCCATTTTCATATTACTATATAAACTAAATAATACATGTACGAGAATGACAATTTTCTTCTTGGTATTTCCCTTTTCGGATTTAAGGTCTGACGATACGTTCCTAGAATATCTGATTTTGTATATCTTTATAAAATTGTATGCCAGAAATATTTATAATTATTATAATCTTGTGATTACTGAACTGGTTTCAAAATTTTTAAAAAGATGTAGACCAAAACCTGTGATATCAGTAATTCAAGTGATATCGTAAAGGATTATATAGGAAATACATGCTCTGGTGTTTTGCACAAATACCTGGTAATGCACCTCAACTTTTTGTGAAAAAAAACTTGTTAAAGTAGCAATACTCCAATCACAAATAGGGTAGGAAAAATATATATTATTGAGGAAAGTCTCGTCTGACCTTAACAGTTGTACTTTTTTCATCAATATGGAAATTACACGTGGAATTTAGTTAAGTTGGCATGGGCACTATGCTGTGATCCAAGTTTGTCTCGCATCCTAGCGGGTGGCCTTTATATCGTATGACTGCTTGAGAATAAATTCGAAGCATATTTTTGTATCTGTGTTAAATGTTCGAAGTCGTAAAAGTTAACAGCAAAGAGGAGTATATATAGGATTTTGTTCTGAAGTTGCAGACTATAATTTGTTTTCAATTATTGTTAATTTCTGATGTTAAGCAGAGGTTTAAAATATTGAATACCATTATGTATTATATATAGAAACAAGAATTTATGCGCACTTAAAAAAAAGAATTTTCTATTACAATGATGTGTCCATAGCGAAAAATGATGTTTTAAAAGTCATATATATTTCATACTGGAATTAAGTCAATAAAAGAGATAGTCAGAACAATTATATAAATTTCAAGACCATGCTTGTAAGGAAAAATATCAGAAAGCCTATTGTTTTTCTAAGTGTATCGACTTCTTGATTTCAAAATAATTTGAATTATTAATTGATAAGAAAAACTTGATAAAACTGGATAATCATGCCATGGCTAATAGTTGAAAGTTATAGCGTATAACTATTAACATAGTATAGGCTTTTTTCTCTTCAAGTTATAATGAGATTTATTCCAGCTGTGCTGTTTTAAATATATTTTAATGAGTTGGAAATGCATGTGTAAAAGTACAGCTGTGCATAATCTCGGGTTTATTTATTATAGAGCAATAAATATACTATTTTCTTTAATTTCAAGGGATAATAATGGCGGGATGGTTTTTTTGAAAAGCAAGTTCAGAGATCAAGAAAATATAAATGTGAATGTGTGCATATGAATTTAGAATATTCCTTGTTTGGAAAATCTTTCTTTGTCAAAATTCTTTTTTTTAGACCGTTTTATTTTACTTCATGCTATAATCCCAGACGAAAATGCCCGAAATACTGGGTTTCATATAATTTTGTTAAGTAGTAACTTTTTGTTTTGTTGAAATTTAAAAATCCAATTCAGTGATTTTTGTTTCTTTCCTGAAACGCAATTAAATGGTTTATGTTAAAAAGTCTCTATTCATGTCTGTTTCAATTTCTTAAAAATCATTTTCTTGAAAGAATTTTTTGAAGTCAGGTTAGACTAACTCATTTATTACTCCTCTTTCATCTGGTACCTCATTATTTCATCATTATTTCTTATTGCTCTTTACTATTGCGTCTGTTATTATTGATTCTCTCTTCACTGACGGGACAGAAAAGTAACTCAATAATTATGAACATGAATAATTTTATACAAAATATCCTATTTTCATCCCTGATTAATAAATTTCACAATTATCTAAAGCATATTTTCAATTAGATAGATCAATATATCTGTCTACAGAATTAGCCCACCACGTAATTACAATACATTAAATATTCGTTGAGATCTTTGTTGTAATGATGTCAAAGTTCTATTGAAAATATAGATGTTTAAATATATTAATGTGGTAATATTTTTACATCAAAAGGAATTGACATGGTGCAACTAACAGAATGAGAATTTTGCTTTTGGTAAAATCTAATTAACAAAAATTAGCAACGCATTTTGAGCATTGTTATATTTTTCAATCAAATTGTAATATTTCAAATGACTGAAGTAATAGCAAAATACAATATCGTAGGCGTTTTCCTAGAAAAAAAAATAACGAGAATAACGTTCAAAGTAATTGAACCCTTTTCTTAGAAGTTTTGACTAACACAGGAAGAAAATTTACCAAAGCTTTTAAGGAGAGTCATACTTGATAAAAAAAAATAGAATTATGTAAAATGTGAAGATAAAGAACAATGACGAATCTGATGAATCCAGTAAACAAAACGAATTATAGAATAAGTATGAAGTATATTGTGAAATCATCATTGTTCGTGGGGGACCAATGTTCGTGGTTATCGTGGGTCACCCTTACCCAGTATTGTTTCTAGAAACGAAGAAAACCTGAAGGATAGCAGAAGTTTCAAACTGCTATAATAAAACTTTTTTCTCTCCCTTTTTCATGTAATCCTACAATAAGGAAAAATGAACGATGCACAAGAAACCCATTAAATGTGCATACGTACATATATTGGCACTCTCTGATTCAATTTCTGTTCTGTCATTTCATTTTATTTTCTAATCAAGACACACCTGATGCCTACAAAAGTTATCCCATAAAAGGCGCTTTTTCCTTTAATCAAGGAACACAACGGATTAGCTCACATTCAGTATGACATTGAAAGAATATGTATAAATTTGGTCTGAAATCATAAATATCATTATACTCTCAACAGTGGGCGGAATAGCACACGGAGCACAGATGTGCTTCTATTTTCAAATCAATACACCATGAGCTGATGTCTAGCTGGAAATAGGGATTGTACATCGTCAAAAAAGAGCTATTAAAATGCTTTCCGGGTTTAATATTACCCACATAAAGCATGCATCATCTGACAAAATATGAATATTCAAGCATAAACAAAGTGATTCGAAAATATTTTGGAGAGAAAACAAAAACATAGTGATTTCCTATTTAACGATGGGGGAAAAATTAGAAAACAGACTGTTTTAATGTTTTGCTATATTGGACTTCAACAAAATCATTTTCCATTGTTTAGATACAGTTTTCATTGCCATTCATCACGTTTAATATATATTGTTTTATTTTTATTCATTTTGAATTTTGATCCAAAGATGGATTTTTCATGAATTTCTTCTGTATCAACCAATTACAATGCATGAATAAAATAACTGTAATAGAAAAACAACTTTCATGTGATATTAAGTTTAGTCACGTTTAGGAAATTACTACAACTTTCACAACCAATATGTTTATAAATATCAAATCATTAATTTTTATTTTGGACCATAATGTAGAAGAAATCAATCAGAAATTATATTATATTCTGCAGTCACTCATTGCAGATGGCATCTTAATAATTCAAAAAGCCATTTATACGAAATTTTCGAAATTTCTTATTTGATTAACCGAGGCATTGCTTTCAATTATGATATTCATGCTAAAGTGTCGTTTTGTTCCGTTTCATATCTATCTGCAATGCATTTATTTATATTTATGTAAGAACTTTGAATAAAAAAATATATCTAAAAAAAAAGTTTGGTAGATCGAACCAAGGGATATTATTTTATTAAGCCTTAATGTACAATATCAATTATAGGGGGAAAAAAGAACCTTTGATAGATAAAATTTCAATATTTAAATATGAAAAAAAGTCGGTTGTTTTATTTTGATATAATGCAGATCTATTTTATCATACAAGATCGAAAATCAAACTTTATCCATTCAAAATATTAATCACAGAAATGAAGGTAAAGAATATATATATAAATAACGAATATGTAGTGATATATTAAATTTTTATTTTTTCATTAACAACATCGACAATAACTTACCAAAGAAAAAAATTGAATCCATAGTTAAGAGAGCCTTATTAATTTTTTAATAGTGAAACGAGTCCTGTTTAGATTAAAACAATATAAACTTTTTTATCATTAATTTTCTCCCGTTTTCGTCTCCTTCTCACAACACACAACACATTTTCAACACGAGTGAAATCCACCGCCGCCATGTTTGTTGAAATAAACAATTAACACATTCAGAATCTCCTTTGGAAAATTTAAAGAAAAAATGCAAAGAAATAGAATTCGATAAAAACTTCCATCGGTAATGCACGGTATTATGATTTACAGAAAAAATCGTCCTTACATCTTCGTTGGCATTCAGATGTAGGTCATCTATAACATTAAATTCGGCCTTTTACGTCGAACGAAGCGTTAACAAAGAGCATTCGACCTGATTCCTAGCCACGTCTGACAGGCAGTGACGATAGCATTGTAATCCACAGTGTGAGGCCAATAAAGGGGCACTAGAAAATTTTTATTCCTATTTGAAAAGCTTATACTTGTCTTAAAGTTTCAATTGAAATAGTCAATCGTTGTTGGAAAAACTTATCTCAAATAATGTGAAAGTCTTAAGAAATTTTTGATGCAGCTATGCAAGGTATTTTTTCTGTGTTTAGGAAATTTAGAAAAATTATCAAAAATATAATCTAGCATCAAAAAGCATAAATAAAGCAACATTCAACAAAATGCAATGTTATTTAATACGTAAATGGTAAGCAAATATTTTCTTGAATACAGACTGAAATAGTCGTGATTGCTGCTTTGATATTTCACATCCATTCATAATTAAGTGGATCAAACATGACTATTTTAGCTTGTTAGTGAAATAAGCAAGACGAAGCATCAGAAGTTCATAAAGTAGATGTTTTAGATATCATATGGGGTGTGACTAGAGAATCCACTAGTAAGAATCATGACTGCCTGAAGATGTAAGCTTTAATTATGAAAATGGGTGTTTCTGTCATAAATTACTATTTGTGCAATATTTCTCACAGATAACAACAACAACACAAACGGGAATGCTTTTATAAGCTATCCTCAGAAAAAAACTTCATGATCTGTATGGCATCGCACGATTTTTCTGTTTACCCAAGTCGCTATGTTTACTTGAATTTCCTATGTTGTAGATTCGGTAATGTATGAAAACGTTGTGCAAGACCTTCAAAGAAGACCCATTAATTTTCAGCATTTGCTTTATAAAATGCATGCGGGATTTGTGCTTGGAGATAAGACACAGTCTCCAGCAAAGGATATTCTCTAGAGAGTCGATATTTTGTAGGAACAAACGATTACGTTAAGTAAATACATCAGACCCCACATTCTAGTAGGCTTTTTGTTTGAGGAGTCTCTAGTCCATGAACTTTCTTATATTATTGAGCGATTTAACAATTCCATGAACATGCAATTTAATAATTTTTTTTTCTGATATTTCTAGGAAAAAAATTATGTGATCTTCAAAAATATTTTACCATTGAAACAAAACAAAGATTGACATGATTTATATTCACTCCAAGTATATGAAGCATATTTCAGTTGTCTTAGAGGAGTACATATTGAACACTCCTCTTCCATTCTTATCATCTTTAAAGTAATGTTGGTGAATTATTTTATTACTACGCAGCTTTTCTGATCGACGTCTTTTAAAAATCATGTTTCGAATGTTTTTGAATACTTTTCATTAATAGAAACATTATCGAAAACTTTTCTCTTAAGAACATGATCACTATAATATTCAGTACAGTCGTAGGATTTAAACAAATATCGGTTCTTTATTTTTTTTAATGTACACATAATCCTTTTCCTTGCATATATTTGGTGAGTAATACACATTCAGGCAACTCAGATACTTCAATTGATGTACCTTATTCCCACAGGGGCTGACATATGGAAACATTCCACATTTTATTTCACTTCTAAAATAAAACACATGTTCCATTTCACAGCATGATAATTCAGAAAAAATGACAGTCTAAATAAATGACCTTTAGCAGGGAACCTACGTCACGAAAATGCAAGTGTTTTTATGACTCGCATGTTATAATACCAAAATGGAAAAATTCGGAAGGAAGCGTTCAAGAATCACTCTAGATGATATTTATGAAGATAAAGTTTATGGCATGCTATGGCCTTGATCGAAGAAAATTACTTTTTTGACTATAAAACAGTACCCTGCTTTTGTAAAAATTTTAATACAATTCATTTGTGTGGGTAATTCAGTTGTATCTTTTATGTTTAGTTAGTAAGAATGAATTAATTACCTTACACTGTGCACTGACTATTGACAAATACAAAAAGTTATTGACTGTTGAAACCGGAAAAAGTAAGGAACTAAGAAAAATAAAGTCTGAAAAAAAAATTCATCAACATTAATTAAAATCTAAATTTTTTTTCTAAAAAACTCATTTGACCAGACTGTCGCTTACAATCAGCAAGTTTGTATGGATAAAAAACGAGATTATTTCGTTAATGCCAGCAAGTCCTCACAATACGTGATGTCGGGTATCAGTTATCCCAAGCACTCCACAATCGTGCTTTATTCCCAACCCATGGAATTAACTAAACCTAACACAAACCAATCATACAATATCAGATTTCCATAAAAAGTGGCATGTTTTGTTTTATGGCATATTGAGTTTTGTGATTGATATTCAAACTTTAAAGGGGCCATTGGGGGATAAGTTTATTAGGATTTATTTTAACATATACATTAGAATTTCTATTGAATTTGGTTTTCATAATATTAGTTTATTCTGAAAGTTAAAATGAATAGAATATAGTTCTAGTAAACCGAATGCATTTAAATTCTTTTCAAACATATTTATCGTAAGAACTAAGATATGCACAAATTTTCCCATTTGCATTAAAACAGCCTGTTTCGTCTTTAATAAAGAAGTTTTAAAAACCGTCCTGTTTAACTTCTGTAATGTGTTTCAGGAACTCATGATGTAATTTAACAATTAAATGACTAATTTCTTACATAAATAACAATTAAATATTAATTTCTATGAATAAATAGTCGTGTTTAGGATGTTACTTACTCAAGAAGGGAAAATATAGTCATAATTTAACACTTTTACACAAATCAAAGTCAGGGTGAAATCAAAGCTTTATGAATTACATCAAAGATTTTTTTTCTATGTTAACAACAAATTTGCTTTGCTCCTGTCATGCTTTATGATGATTTGAGCAATGGCATCTGAGGTTTTATTTGCCTTCCATGGTCACAAAAAGTAATTTATTAAGAAAAATGTTTAAGTCTTAGAAAAAAGAACTCATGATTGTCTCAAACAATTTATATTTGATTAAAAGCAGAACAGATCCTCCAAAAAGGTTTGTCTCAAAATTAATATCACTTTTACCTTCATATAGGTGCGTCCACTTATCCCATGATGCACAGCTACTTGGCGGGAGGCAGCTCGGGAATTCCTGATCACCTAAAAAATTTACTGCCAGAATACTACGCATCCCCTCCCGAAGGTAATATGTGTGCGTGAAAAATATCATGTTTTAAACATGTTTCATTTGTGTACTTTAAGATATTTTTGTAATAATGTTATTAATATGAATGCAACTTAGGTGATGTACATACATTCATGGATCGTAATAGTTGCAAAACATCAAAAATGTGTTTTATTTCATTCAACGGAAAATAAAGTATAGATTGGTAAATCAGAAAGAGGGGTACTTTTTTTTTAAAGTTGCACAAGCTTTTTAATATCCTTAATTGTTAGATTCTTACAATCATTATAGTTTTAGAAACTTAAACAGTTTGTAATCATTGAAAATTCTTGAAGCACACAACGTGTTGTAAATAGGAATTTTAATATTACTAAAGTGAAAATTTATTTGACATTTAACATTTTAAAACAAATCTGTATACAGAGAATGGATAAGATAGGAAAAAAATATTAGACAAAGCCAATTAAAAAATTGTTTGGTTGCACTCTCCCGACCGACTGGATAAAAATGGTCCGACTCAAAACTTATATTAACTTCAAGGAAGCAATTTTTTTTTATGCGTTCCTGAAAATATATTTTGAAATTTCAGCATTGATGTTGAAATATTTTAGCGAAATTCAGCATTGATGTTGAAATTTTAGGAAATAAAAAATCACCACCTACCTACCGACCCATTTTTTTCATCCTGGGTCGGGAGAGGGCAAGCAAACATTATTTTAAAGTTGGCCCAATAATTTATTCCTAAAGTTAATTTTTCAAAAATGTTTGCAGAATATGTATAAGATTATCCAAGTACGTCCAAAACAACATACCAATTGTCTTTTTCTTTAACCAACATATTTTGGTTACGGATATGGTTAGATTGTGGTTACGCTGTCAATAGTGCAGGAGTATTGTGCTGAACTCTTTTTTCTTTTAAATTTCACGATATCTAGTGTTTACATGTTGGCATGATATTCCACTGTCTATATATACCACATCCTGTGTTTGTCAAGCAAACGGGGCATACAGACATCTATAGCTCTGAATTAAATAGAATGTCGTGAAAATTGTTTATATTTGTATTGCTCTCGTTAACATTGTGCAACTCGTGTTTTAGTCATTAATAAAGAATATATTAGTACTAACTCTATGCTGATGCAGATCTTTATTATTATTTCCCCCAAATTTTAGCTACTTATCTGCATGATTCAAAAAGCAACGAAAAAGAACATACATAAAAATGGTATCATTAACCTTTTAAAGTTAGCGTTTTAAATCCTACATTTGATTGATTGATTGTATGTTATTTTAAGTCCATTCGAGAATTTTTCACTTATATAAAGACGTGAAAGTAAATAAATCTTTTTGAAAGAGGAGGAATATTGAAATGCATACGTTAACTGTTGCAAGTTGTTATTTCTAGAGCAGCACATTATTTTTGAGTAAGAATGCACAGTGATCTGGTTTGTGTAATACTAAAAAATTTAAGAATACAACGTCAGTGAAAAATCATCATCTAAAAATCAAATTATCTAGAATCTTCTTCAAAGACAAGGAAAGGATGAACACATTTCTATTTTCTTAACTTTCAAGAATACCTTTAAAATGATCTGTTCACAGGACTAAAAAAACCATATAAATGTCTTTTCCTAATGAATAAAAGTGTTTCAAAAATTAAAGCGGTTTTATTTAACAATCAAAGGTAATTCATTTCTCATTTTCAATTCATATTAATAATTTTACAAATCTTGAAACATTTCTTTCATTTTCTAAGAAATATAAGAAAAAGATGAGAAAAAATATCCTTAGAATTATAAATAGGTCTCTGTTTAGTCATCTAATCTTTATGGTTTTTGATTCAATCAATGTTTTGATTGTTTTCCTTTATCTAATTATTAAAATATAGGGTATTTGTATACAAATACCCTATATTTTAATAATTAGATAAAGGAAAACAATCAAAACATTGATTGAATCAAAAACCATGTCGGTAGATTCCAGGTTCTTCAGTAAGACATAAGTCAGTAGTAAGGTTTGACCAAGATTTTAATTATTGTAATATATATAAGAAAAACCTGAAATAAAGTCATAATAATTAATAAACATTTACAAATACTTGATGACTTTACTTTTAATTACAAAGATAATAAGAAATATGTATATAAAATAAATATATTTACCAAGCACCACTTGTTAATCAGCTCTAATACAATATAACGTCTATCCCCGTAAAGGGTGTAGCGCCGAGTGTGCATGGAAAACATTTAGTCGCGGGAAAGTTAGTAAAAAGTTATTAATAGAAATAGAACTGGTCAAACCGGAAATGGTCAAGTACGTCACACTAGTAAACATAAATACTCACACGTGGACATTCACACATGACAACATTTCTTTCATTTTCTAAGAAATATAAGAAAAAGATGAGAAAAAATATCCTTAGAATTATAAATAGGTCTCTGTTTAGTCATCTAATCTTTATGGTTTTTGATTCAATCAATGTTTTGATTGTTTTCCTTTATCTAATTATTAAAATATAGGGTATTTGTATACAAATACCCTATATTTTAATAATTAGATAAAGGAAAACAATCAAAACATTGATTGAATCAAAAACCATGTCGGTAGATTCCAGGTTCTTCAGTAAGACATAAGTCAGTAGTAAGGTTTGACCAAGATTTTAATTATTGTAATATATATAAGAAAAACCTGAAATAAAGTCATAATAATTAATAAACATTTACAAATACTTGATGACTTTACTTTTAATTACAAAGATAATAAGAAATATGTATATAAAATAAATATATTTACCAAGCACCACTTGTTAATCAGCTCTAATACAATATAACGTCTATCCCCGTAAAGGGTGTAGCGCCGAGTGTGCATGGAAAACATTTAGTCGCGGGAAAGTTAGTAAAAAGTTATTAATAGAAATAGAACTGGTCAAACCGGAAATGGTCAAGTACGTCACACTAGTAAACATAAATACTCACACGTGGACATTCACACATGACAACACAAATGTAAACACACACAACAGAAATAATTATAAAATAAAACATTGAAACTGAAACATTTAATTACTTACACTGGTTACATATTCCCCCTTTTATTAAATGGCTCCTGACATTCTCTGAAATTAAATATCAGGCAATGTTTTAATTCAAAGTGCTGAATCAATTCAGAATATATGTACAACAAATCAATTAATCCAGAAAACATGCTAAAAATATAATCAAACCACGTAAAATAATCGAACATCATCTGAATCCATTAATGCATCACCAAAATACAACTCACTGACACTGAAGAACAAACCTGCCACAAACCTTTGACACATAAGACCTCAACATCATTGTCAACGAATCATATCAACTGAACCAACCGCAATCAACTGAATATGTTCAAGTCAATCTCAAGTTAAATATTAATTTCATCAAATATCAATTGATGATGGGGGTTCAATAAAGTTACACTGTATAATTACAGTATCAATTGTTTATCTTTAAATAAACAACATGTATCGGTGAATGTCATGCATAGATTCATTTATTCAGTCGAGAATAAATATTTACACAAATCATAAAAACAATGATAAAATACTATCTTCACTTAAGAAGTCTTTGAAATCACTTTCACTTATCACTTTACTCTGAGTGTCCATTTTAACTCGTCCATTCCCCATATCTATCTGGCTGCTTCTTTGTTCTCGTAGATCGTCTAATAGTTGGAGCTTGCTCTGACACATCTGCCTCGGAATTCTGACTTGCTTCATTGGTCCTCTGGCTCAACTCATCAACATCTGAATTCTGAAAGGATAAAGAATAATTACAATTATTAAATTCATTTTGACTTTGACTAATACCCGAGTAACTATAACCTTCATCAACTACTGGCAAAACCCCTTGTATAGATGATGGCAGTTCAGGTTTGTCTCCCTTTGATCTTGTCCTCAAGACTCTTCTCACTGTCCAATTTTCCCTGTCACTCTCAGATTCTGTTTCAGATGAATCGGATGAATCCGTTGTTACTGCTGGCATACAAGTGTCCAAGCCCTCTTTCTTTGCCTTTTTTCGGCTACCTTCCTGCTGTTTAGACTGTACTTCCTTCCCCTCTTGCAATCCAGAATAAGGGAGAAGCATATTCCTATGCAGCGTCCTTGTTCTGCCTGGTCTACCCTGGGCTTTAACCCTAAACACCGGAACATCTGGATTTGGCATTTCCTTCACTGTATAAACAGTTTCTTCCCATTTGTCAGCCAACTTGTTTTTACCCTTTAAACCAACATTCCTTACCAAAACTTTATCTCCCGGTTCTAACTTGGTCTCTCTTACCTTAGCATCATATCTCTCTTTGTTCTTTAATCCTGATTTCCTTGCCTCCTCAGATGCTATGGCATATGCTGACTTCATCCTCTGTTGAAGTTTCTCCACATATCCTTTTGGGTTGACATCTCCTTCATTTCCTGGGTTAAGTCCAAGGAAGGAATCTATAGGTAGTCTTGGACTCCAACCAAACATTAAGAAATGTGGGGAAAAACCTGTCGCATCACTCTTGGTAGCGTTATATGCCTGAACCAAAGGGGCAACATGTTGTTTCCAGTCTGTCTTCTGTTTGGGATCTAGGGTACCCAGCATCTTCAAAAGTGTTTGATTAAACCGCTCTGCCGAACCATTACCCATAGGATGGTATGGTGTCGTACGGGTTTTTCTGATTCCTAGCAGCTTACAAAGCTCCTTTATAACTTTTGACTCGAAATTCCTGCCTTGATCGCTGTGCAATTTCTCTGGAAAACCATAATGAAGGAAGAAATTCTCATATAGGGCTTTTGCTGTTACAGTAGCCTTTTGGTTACGGCATGGTATGGCCTGTGCAAAGCGCGTATAGTGGTCGGTAATAACCAATATATCCTCTGTCCCTCCTTTACTTTTCTCTAGACTCAAAAAGTCAATACACACCAATTCCATTGGATGTGTGGTCTCAATAGGGACTAACTCAGCAAAAGGCTTTGCTTGAGTTTTGCGTCTTATGCATCTAGGGCAATTTTCTATCTTCTCAGTTATCTCCCTTTCTAACCCTGGCCAAAAATACCTTTGCCTTGCTAACCACAGGGTTTTCTCTTTTCCAGGATGACCTGTATCTCTGTGAATTCCTTGAAAAGCTACTTCACGATACACCTCAGGGATCACCAGCTGACTTACCTCTTTGTCGTCAATAATTACTTTCCTGTAGAGAATTCCATCTTTCAGATAAAGTTTCCTCCATTCCCTAAAAAATCTCTGAACTGAATAATCCTCCTTTTTCATGTTCACTCTTTTTGGGTAAAATCCTTGTTTCTTCAACTCTATAACTCTTGCTAGATACTTGTCCTCCTCCTGTTCTTTTCTCCAGTTAATTTTGCTTAGATATTGGGATTCTATAGTCTCAAAACTAGCAGAATTTGGTGAAGAGTCATCTATAATAGTCTGGCAATAAGGAACACCACACAGTATAGACTGGCATATGGCCTTAATAGCCTCTGAGAAAAGCTCTGGCTTCCTTGACAACCCATCTGCATCAGCGTTTTGCTGACCAGGTCTGTATGCTATTGTAAAATCATAGCCTGCCAAAGCAGCAACCCACCTTTGGCTGGTAGCGTCAAGCTTGGCTTTAAAGAGCACATATGTAAGGGGGTTATTGTCTGTGATCACTTGAAAAGTAGTACCATAGAGGTAATCATGAAATTTATCACTGACCGCCCATTTGAGTGCCAAGAACTCCAGTTTGTGAGCTGGATAGTTCCACTCGCTTGGCCTCAAGCCTCTGCTGGCATAGGCTATCACTCTTTTCCTACCTTGCTGGACCTGGTAGAGAACAGCCCCTAATCCAAAACTGCTAGCATCTGTATGTAAGATGAATGGTAATTTGTAATTGGCAAATCCAAGTATAGGGGGTTCTAGAAGCTTGCTCTTTACCGTCTGGATTGCCTCTTCCTCTTTCTTCGTCCACTGCCACTTTACTGGTGTATTTCTATTCTTTTTCCTCTTCTGTTTCTTAGTTGTACCATGACCTTGAAGTAGGGTGTTAAGTGGAGCTACTATCTTGGCAAAATGTTGTATGAAACGCCGATAGTATCCCACAAATCCAAGGAATTGACGGAGTTGTTTGATGTTGGTCGGTGTTGGCCAATCACGAACAGCTGATAATTTTTCCGGATCAGTTTGAATTCCTTTTTCTGAAATAACATGGCCTAAATAAGTTACTGAAGTTTTGAATAATTCACATTTTGATGGTTTCAATTTTAATCCATGCTGAGCTAACTTTGTAAATACATTTTTAAGTCTAACACAATGTTCTTCAAAAGTTTTTGAAAATATGAGTACATCATCCAAAAAGATCAAACATTCTTTCAAATGCATATCTCCCATGCACTTCTCCATCAACCGTTGGAATGTTGCAGGAGCATTTGTTAATCCAAAACTCATTCTGTTACACTCATAAAAACCTAAATTACCTACCGAGAATGCTGTTTTGTACCGATCTTTTTCCTCAATTTCCACCTGCCAATAGCCCGATCGTAGGTCGAGTTTGCTGAAAAACTTGGCTCCATACAGGGTATCTATGACGTCATCAAACCGAGGAAGCATATAGCAATCCTTACGCGTCTTCGAGTTTAACATTCTCATGTCGAGACAAAACCGCAAAGATCCGTCTGATTTTCGACAAAGCACTACGTTCGAAGAATAATTGCTATTGGATTCGCGAATAACTCCGGCATCTAACATTTCGCGCACGTGCTGACGGACTTCCTCATACATACCTGGAGGAATCCTGCGATATGGTTGTTTAAATGGTTTGGTGTCATCTAACTCAATAGAATGTTTGACTAAATCAGTTCTTCCGAGATCTAATGGTCCTTTCGAAAATACATGACTGTACTGTTTTAGCATATTTCTCACAGTATTGAACTGATCTTCATTAAGCATACTGGAGTCAACTTTAACTCCAAGTTCAATAGGGTCACACAGTTCAGATTTGGGATTTAATGCAGAAAAATTATCTACCACCTTAACTTCTTGGAGATTACAAAGTACAGTGCCATGCCTAACTGAGATGGGTTTGGCAGATATATTGCAAATTTTGACTTGCACTGTAGACTTTGTAGTAGGTGCAGAAAACTTAACTACCCTTGGACAAACTGTAAACCTATCAGTATTATCACAGTTTTCAGAAACCATTGTCATGTTGTTACTTGTTAAACCTTTAACACGACCCTTTATAACAGTAGATTCATTAGGTTGTACCATAATAGGCTTCTTACACACTGATTTGACATGGTAACACTTACTCTTCATACTCTTTAGTGCTACTTTCCATTCTTTTGGAATTGTTTTCATTTCATTGGAATCTTCACCCAACAAATCTCTACAAATTCTCAACACATTAGTTCCAATGATAACAGGACATGTTCTATTGAAATCAGTGTCTGGTACAATTAAAATAGGGACAAATAACTCTACATCCATAAATGGAATTTTTACAGTACACTCTATATACCCCTTGTATTTCAATAGAGAACCATCTGCAACAGACACTTCTAACCCTAAGTTAGATAAATCTTTCAACTCTGGTTGATTTTTCATAGAATAGTAACCTGATAATGACAATGTTGTTACCATTGATCCACTGTCAACAAGACCTGTAAAAGAATTGTCATGCATAAAAATAATAGTCTCATTTGACTCACCAATCATTTTGCATTTTAACTGCTGGCCTTCACTTGAAATCATGGTCCCCGGTCGGCCTTCATCAGAGACCTCTATTCGTTTGGGTTATAATTACCTGTTCTTTTTCCTTGATCCCGTCTCTGTCCTTGACCTCGGCCAGCATTAATCCTTTTGTCATTTGAATTACCTCTGTAGTAATTAGAGTTGCCTCTCCAAACTCCACGGCCTCTGTAGTAACTGCCTCTACCTCTGTTTTCTGTAGGTCTACTTGCTACATTACCTGTTCTACCATCCAATTTTTCTAGTATCTGGTTGAACTTGTCATTTATCTTACCTTCCAATTTTGTCTCCATATTCCTCATCTTCTCCATTAACTTCTCCTCTAAGTCTTCAGATACTGACATACCATGTTGATGAACTGGCTTTTTCTCTGAAATGCTAGAACTTATCAAAATTTCTTTTTCTACCCTTCTTATTTCTAACAACAACTTGTCATAATTCTTGATGTCATCATATTTATGTCTTGTTTGAGACTTAAGCTTCTCTGAACTCAATGAAGTCCAAAACTTATGCCGTAATAAGTCATTCTTAGATGCACGATCAAGATAACCATTATCTATGGCATTCTGTAGCATTGTTTCAAGTCTACATCCAAATGCTGTTACACACTCACCTGGTAGTTGAAATGCATTGAAAAATTCTTGCATAATCATGCCATTGTTGGAAATTTCACCAAACAAAATGTCAAGTTTTTCTAAAATTTGCTTAACACCAGCCTTCTCACCTAGCGGAATTAACATTGTTTTTGCTGTACCCCTTAATGACCGTCTAATACTTTGTATCAGAATATTTGATTTTATATCAGGGTCACGCATTAGGCACTGCACTTCAAATCTCCACTCTTTGTATGAAACATCCCCCTTCTGAGGAGGGTCATCACCCGAGAATTGTGGGATTCTTGGGATGTTAGTATTAAACTCATACACCTGGTTGATGCTATTCCCATCCTTATCATAAAAGGTATTTTGTAGTTTACTACCACTACTACTAGTATCACCAGAATTACAAGCTAACTTTGCAAAGGGATTGTGCTTTTGTCCAAGATGTAAAGGAACATTGTGATCAGGTATAGATACCTTTGGTTTTGCACTTTGTAAATGTTCAGCAGGTACAGATACCTCTGTTTTAACAGGGTTACCATCTTTTGTGGTTTTGGGGGTACTGGTTGCAGGTTGTGCAACACCAGCAAAATCAAGTTTGTTTTCCTCTGATGAGGATACATCTGCAGTAACCTTTTGTTTTTCTTTGTCAGCCATTTCTATGAACAATTAATTACACTTCACAACTTCACACCAAATATTTACGCCAACTGTACAGTTCAAACCAATATAAAATAACTATTCACAACAACAAACCAAAAAACTGTTCAACTGATCACCTCAACAGATCATTACAACTTTGTACATACAACCACAGCAACTGCTATCTGATGTAGTAACTCTTAATTAACTTTTGAGTAAGTTACCTGGTGATATGTTTACTGGTGAAATTGAATACTTTAAAGATGGTTTAATTCAACTTATGATACCCAGTTTTAAACAATTCATCATAAAATTCCTAAAATTCAAAACCACAAACACACAACATACAGACATACACACAATAACTCTCTGCTCCGTAGGTCTGTCTACTGTTCAATGGACTGAAAGAAATATTAGTTTGATTAGTGAAATAACTGCATGCTGGTTAGAAAGTGAACTCGGCTTGCTGCTACCTAAATTTACAAACACCTAATTTACAGCTACCTAGAAATAAATAAAACTATAAATAATGAACTTACAATGAAAATATAAATATAGATACAAAAATATAATTTGCAAAACAAACAATTATCAACCTGAAAAAGAAAAAAGTATACACTAATACAGCAAAACTTTAGAAACTGTCTTGTGCACTATAAATAGAAACAAAAATAGACCTTGGGAATTCCCTTTTTACACCTCAGTAGTAAGTACAGACATTGAGACAACACATTAGACGAAGACAGTAACTTGCACACACAAATATGACAAACAAGTACACAGAATAACACATGGAAATGACCATTTGTATGCACAATTAGTTACAGTACCTTTGCTCCGCAGACCAGTTTACGAATCACGCTGAATAGAATTGGAAGACTCCATTTTGGTCGGTCATTGGTTCGCTGCGCGCATAACTGTGACGTCACGGTTCCGGAAGTATCGGATTCGCCTCTCGGGATCCGCCTGTGAATTTTTTACACTGTTATGAACACACTTTTCAATACCGGCCAGTTTCAAACAAAACACATTAATGATTTACTGTACACTCATAGCTGATTTAGATCCATGAATTCACACAATAGGCCTATAATTCGCTGGATATGGAAATGAAAAGGTCAGCGACTTCTCTATGTCCGCCCTCTCTCCAATCCGCTCCCCGGGTTCTTTTCCTAATTATTCCAATGGATCAGTCTTGGATGCCTGGTTTTCCAATTAACGTGGGCGCCATTTGTAAACCATGTCGGTAGATTCCAGGTTCTTCAGTAAGACATAAGTCAGTAGTAAGGTTTGACCAAGATTTTAATTATTGTAATATATATAAGAAAAACCTGAAATAAAGTCATAATAATTAATAAACATTTACAAATACTTGATGACTTTACTTTTAATTACAAAGATAATAAGAAATATGTATATAAAATAAATATATTTACCAAGCACCACTTGTTAATCAGCTCTAATACAATATAACGTCTATCCCCGTAAAGGGTGTAGCGCCGAGTGTGCATGGAAAACATTTAGTCGCGGGAAAGTTAGTAAAAAGTTATTAATAGAAATAGAACTGGTCAAACCGGAAATGGTCAAGTACGTCACACTAGTAAACATAAATACTCACACGTGGACATTCACACATGACAACACAAATGTAAACACACACAACAGAAATAATTATAAAATAAAACATTGAAACTGAAACATTTAATTACTTACACTGGTTACATATAAGAAATCTAAAAAGTTCATAATGTAATGAAACTATTTCAAACTCTTCTTAATATAACTTTTATATTTAAAATTGAATATATATATATATACAATATATATATATATATATATATATATATATATATATATATATATATATATATATATATATATATATATATATATATATATATATATATATATGTATGTATGTATGTATGTATGTATGTATATATACAGTCCTCAATTTTAACATGAAGGCTTACATAGGTACCTTGAATTTAGGCTTTTGATTTTTGATACTAATTGTGTTGGTTTACATTTCAAGTTTAATGATTTAATACACAAACCAAGTAAAACCTTCTTGGTATTCATACGGTTCTGGTATTCAAGGTATCCTAATGACAAGCAGAATCGCCTCAAATTCAGATAAGTTTGATAGTCGTTGTTAACGTATTCAACGACACATTCTCATGGGCATTGTAATTATTTTGTTTAGACTATCAAGGCGTCTCAATTTTTGTCCTCTGAGAAGTCAAATTTTCAATGTGTTTTCAGCCGTTCTTTTTTTAATCACATTTATCAAGATGCTAGGCAGCACATCTTTGTTTATGCAGTTATTATATATATATATATATATATATATATATATATATATATATATATATATATATAACCTGATGCGTAATTTTGCTTCTGTAGGATTGTCCCGTTACATGTTTCCTGGACCTGGATTCCTCCCCCCTTATCTCCCGTCCTATATGTCCGCCACAGATTCGTTGTCTTTATTCGCCCATTCCGCAGGATCGTCGGCCTATCACAGGATTTATGATCTGCATAAAGGTCAGTATGAGTCTTTTTTTCTCTTCACTGCCGTAGAAATTCAGCCTACAAATATTTTCAGATAGTTTAATTAAGAATCATTAAGTTTTGAGATGTGAGTGATATAGGGTCTTTCTTTGCAATACTGGAATTTCTTCAACGAATTGGGAGGGGTTAATTTACCGAAAAAAGAGATAATTTATCATTTGCATTATGCAAGCATACTTGAATAAATATGCAAATTATTTAAAATACGATTAATAATATAATGCAAACATATATCGTTTAAAAGATATGAATAAGGAATAAGATATTTAAAACAAAAAAATTATTCAGATATTGAAAATTTCCCCTGGAAACATCAATAAATAGGATTATTTGCAGGGAAACAACTGGATGAAGGTCTTAAGACATTTTTATAACAAACATCTTTCTGAGTTTTTTCTTTAATTTATGATATTTTATAATCATACCCATTCCTGCATTTACATCAAAAGAACAATTTAAGCCTCGTAAATTATCACGTTAAATGACACTCGATGCACTGAGCTTCTTTTCCTTACCTCACCGGACTTTGATTAAATCCTGAGAGAGATTGTGAAATTTTTTTAAGGAGAGCAGAAACCTATTTACTTTTGTTGCCATTTTTTGTTGAAAGTTTCCTATTTCGTGTAAGATTCTTTCTTCTGTTTGAATTTTGCTCCTCTGAATAATATTTCAAACATCCAGAGAAATCTTTTGGACAGAATGACTGTTTGACAATCAGTTTTCCCGAAAAGATGCTTTCCCCTTTTTGTGAATTATTTTCAAAATAAAAACCCAGATTTTTTATACATACATACATACATATATATATATATATATATATATATATATATATATATATATATATATATATATATATATATATATATATATATATATATGTTTTATTTCAACTAGTAAGCGAAATGTTACAGAAACAATCCAGGCTCATAAATCGGAATATATCCTTCTTCCGTTTCGTAAAAAGTATACAAACATCATCAAAGTCTTTTTTTTCTTTTTTGTTCTTTTTAATCTCTTTATCTCTATGGAAATCTTTGGAATTGTCTGACTTTGCATTACTTACCGCATTTCATGCAGAAAAGTTACTTATCAGAAATTACTGATAGACTACCTTAATTATATCTTTTCTATTATGACAAAATCTTATGTCCTTGTGCCAATATATCTTCGATAAGATTTTTTTCCCATTATAAGTGGAGTTAAGTGTTTTAGAATATTTTCATTTTCTTTCTCACTGAATTATCCATTAATTGCTGTTCTTTTAAATCCACTTTTAATCTAATATCTTTTCACCAATTTCTTTTCATTCAAATTTTCTCAAAATTAAATGGATTAAAATGAAAAATAGTGTTATATATAGTTCCAATATTTTATTCAAATTAGAAATTTAAAGATATCCCGAAATTATTTTTACACTGAAATGGATAGTAAAAGTAAGCAATTAAGGAAATTAATTGTTAAATTGCACTCACCAGCAATTATTATTATAAAAGAACAATAATAGTAGACTTTTGATTAGAAAGCTGTAAAATTTAAGTGAACAGAAAAAATTTTAAGAAAAAAATCTTAAGTTGAAAAGGGATGTGCTTGTTGAATCAGTATGTATCAAAATGAAAATTACGGGATATAAAAATATACCTTCCTTTTCTTCTATAAGAGAGAAGTGTAAGCAGTAAAATGAAAGCACAAGATGCACATGTGGAAATCAAAAGTTCAACCTATTCCAGGCAAAACATATGCCGTTGTGTCGAATTATACAATCCATCTATTCAAAACATCACTGCACAGACTGTAACCGAGGGGGAATATAAAAACCCAAAAGACCTTTTAATCGAGGGTCAAGTATCAGCCATATACAATTGGTATTCAGGGGATGTTTAAAATCACTGCCAATCATGTCGCCAAATCAGAAGGCCACTACTTATTTCTTCTATTATACCTGACAGAAAGACGAATACGATAGTCATGTTTCAGTAACTCAATATCAGATGTATTTTCACACTAGCTCCGCCTATTAATGCCATTACAAAAATATTGTTTGAGGCACATTTGGGGAACGTGGAGAATGGATTTCATAGGAAAATATTCATTTTCTGTTCATTTGAAATTCATGTAAATCCTGTTTTTATAATCAATATCTCGAAGCAGAAAAAGGTAATAAAGGATCCTTTTTATGGAAGGAAAGAATGCCGTTATGGGTGGCATTTCTAAAAGCAGCTGATCGCACTCTTTCTAGAGGTGACATTGCTTCTGCTTGATTACTGTTATATGTGGAATAAAGTAAATACCGTTGGAGACAGAGAGCTTTCTAGCAAATAACATGCATTGTACTGTATTAATATTATGTTGATTTTTTTTAGAGTACCTTCCTTTTACGTTTTACTTTAGTAATTTGATATTTTTAATAATTTTCTATAAGCAAATGATCTTGATGATAGAGAATCAATAAATTTTTGAAATTAATGGTTTATGCAGATTTTTGTTGTTGATACTTTTTCCTTACAGAAGCAGCTCTTTATCACGGAGCAGCTCGTTCTGGGTTGTACAGTCCTCCATCTTCCTCGTCATCATCAACGACATCTGGAAGATTATCCTCCGATCATGCATCTAAACGAGATTCAAAATCGACAGACTCCAAACGCTCATTGGATCTCAGCAAACATGGCTCTCGCGACGAGGCAACTACATCAAAAGTTAAAATTTCCAAAGACATTGACAGAAAAGATGAACGAACGAACAAACGTCCATGTGAACTGTCGCCGACTAGAAGTAGAAAGACTAAAATTCCCAGAGTTTCAGAAAATGACAAGAAAATCGAGAAAGAATGTCCAAAAGAAAATCCGTCGACATTGGTCTTAGAATCCAAAATCTTGAATCAGACTACCAGTGATGTAAACGTGACCATTGACGATTGCAAGAAAATTGACAAAGATGACGTTTTAGTGGATTTATCTATTAAAATTCCAAAATCAGAGATAATATCTCCCAAAACTGTGAAAACTAGTCCAACTGCTTCTGATGTTTCTCAAGAGGAAAAAACTTCGCCTTGTTCAAATAAAGGTGAGTAAAATTCTGATCGCAAAGAATTTACAACGAATCGAAATTATCACATTAGCGTGTTTTTGTTCTTTTTTATTTCACTAATAGCACAACAAAGGTACTTTCATGCCCACATATTTGTTAAATTCGGCTGTATAAAATCTGTAGCAATTCTGCTCACAATATGGCTAGACTTTGTAATGAGCAGAGCTTGGATTTATTTATAGATTATTAATGACATGAACTGATACTACTTGTACAGTTGGATCTTTCTTGAACCCATTAAAGTATCATAATATGAATTAAAATAATAAGTTCAGAAAAGTAAATCAATTCAATTCTTTACAAATTTACCATAAGTATTAGATTTAACGGTAAATAAAAGTAATTGTTACTGTTTGTAATATAAATGATTTGTTGCTGTAAAGTTTATCTATAATTCTATGTAAACCCAATTAATCAATTTCTATTTCATTTTATTAATAGTATTACATTACTATTAGTCCATGAACCATGACATTCTAAAAAAAGATTTATTTTTTATTGCTGTACTTTACATGAGGTATTTTGAGTGAGTTTTAAAAAGAATGTAAGGTTCCTATAAAAATAATCTTACTGTATTTTGTTGAATTGCATTCAAAGTTTCTAGTGGAAAGGAAAAAGAAGAACAACATTGAAACTTGTTCGGCTTTGACATTTGTTATATATTATCATATAATCCCTAGATATGTAAAAAGAAGCATATTTTCTAATTTTTGTATTATTTAAATATTTCCCCATGCTTGGTTAAAGCAGATTTTTCTTATAAAGAATTATCAATGTATTCATATTACTGAATGCATAATACATTTCTTTCATATAATTCATCGTACATCAGATACATCAAGTGTGTAGTCTACTTTTCTTCAAAAACGTTTGCATAATGATGTTTAGTTTGCCTGAATTGACACAATTATCAACAATTAGACTGACAATCTATGGCAATAGCTTCTGATAGCTGTGAAGTTTTACACGCTTCTTTGTTGGGGTTTGATGTTTAATACGATAGAAATCATTCGAGCATAATCGTTTATTTGAAAAGGACGCTAGTTTGCTTAGGCAAAATTTTCCTGTCTTCAAAATATTAAAAGAGAAATTGAAAAGTTATGATAGGGGTTGAAAAATACTTGGATTCTCTTTTTTCTCTATTCATTAAATAGTTTCTTATGAAACAATTAAGGTGATTATGTGACAAGAGTATTTTAAAATTTCCTTGAAAAATTACATGTAAAGATTTTCTTAATTTGGAGAAAGCTAATTGCTACTATGTCTAATAATCACAAGAATCACCGGGAGATATTTTTCCTCGAGGTTTTTCCATTATCTTTGCTGTTTGCTTTACAGACACTAAATCATCAGAAGACAACAATACAATGACCACCAAGACTACGACAACGTATTCAATGCCCTACTACCACTCAATTTACTCTCACTCACAACCGGAGGGGGTCACGGACGGGAAGAAAGTCCATGCACCCACTTTTACTCCGGAGATCGTCACTTTACCGAGTGTGGTGCCCATTTCATCCCTTCCTGTACAAACAATAGCGTGTGATATGAGAATCAAGAAGGAAAAAACTTCCTCCTCATATTCATGTTGTAACCAGTCATCTGCATTAACACAGAACACGACTGCCACTTGCCAAATGAGTCCAAAAGCTCAGAAAAGTAACACTGCATCAAAACAGAACGATTCCCACGAACAATTAAAAACTGACAGTAATAAACGGAAAGGGAAAGACAAATCGGCATCTGGAAGAGATAATTCAATAGAAAGTGATATTGACAAGCTCTCAAAGAAAACAATAGATTCATGTCAAAGTAATGTTATGCAAAGTTCAAAATGTTCAAATAAAGGCAAATCGAATAACAGTTCCAAAACACAGTTAAGTGAATCTAATAAAACAGTGTCAAGCGAAATCGTCACAGATTTATCAAAGAAAACAAAGAATCAACCAACTGAGGTACTCTGTGAAAAATCGGTTATCAAGCCCAACACCAAATCAGCTTCTTTTACAAATGTGTCACCAAATGAACAAAATAGAGAAATCCCTGGCTTGAGTCAATCATCCCAATCCAGTACTGGAAAAGCAGCAGCCGACAAGGGAGAAAGAAGTGATTCTTCGGCTGTTAACTTAGTCAAGGAGAAATCTACAACTCCTGAAACTAACGTGACAAAAGCAGAACAACAGAGTTCAGATAATAATGGACCAGATAACACTCCTTGCGATGTTACTTCAAAAAAGAAGGCTGGGAAACAGTCAGGAAAAAGACAGACTGGAAAGCTGAAATCAAGTCTGGAGGATGGCACAGGTATAGTGGATACTTAATGGATATTAGTAACAGCTTGATAATAGCCTGAACTGTAATTGAAAAAAAAATACACGGTCGGATAAAGTGTCAGCAAATTTATCTAAACCTAGTACATTGTGTAAATATAGATTAAAAAGTAAAACAAAATCTCCAGTTTACACGAAGTATTTTTTTTTTATTTTGATGCAGTAATATTAATAACTTATTTTTTCTGTTCAATTTTTGTTTGATAGTGTTCACTGTGAAAGTTTTTTTCATTTATTTAATTTAATATCTACTCAGATATGGAAATGGAACTCTTGTTACATTATGAGTATAATTGAGATCTGGCTCGGAATTCATTGCAATTTTCTACATCAGTAAAACACATCAATATTTTATTATCATACGATGGACAGAAAAGAAAGCGTACAAATAGAGCAAGGGTTGTTTGACCTTTACTCTTTCCCTTAGATCGTATCAGATCCCCATTCATCAGTAAACCGAGATTTTAAATCAGGCATGTTTTTGAGAACTGGGAAAAACTGCGTCAAGGCAAGAAAGATGCAGCGGGAATTTCGTCCTCCAAGATCAATATGTGACTGTAGGCTTTCAGAAGCCTGCTCTGTCGGTCGAATCGATCTATGAGCCTCAAAGACCATATTTTCTCTCTTTCCATGTTCATGCAAGTGCTTCGTCTCAAAGTTTTTCTCAACATGGATGCATGGTTAGAAATTACTTGACTTTTTGTGCTTTAAATGTGCGATTTCGTTCTAGGAATGAGTAATATACCAATTGGAATAGCAGTAGCACAGAAACGTGAGGATAAAAAGACCGACAAGACAGGTAAAGGATTAGTCATATTGCTCAACACTCTAATATTAAGCAGCTTCTTCTCATTAAGCTATATTTCTCGATGGAAAATTGATTCCTTCTAGTACATAAAATTTGTGTATCCGTTACACGACGATCTAAATCTATATTTAGAAAAAAAAATTATAAAGACTGTTGATACTAATTCGTGATTTTAAAAAAAAATGTTATGGGATATTTTTGGAGAACTGTCTTTCCCTTGTTTTATAAGAATACTAGTATATAATATTGACATTTCATATTCTTTGAAATTTCATTAAAAAAGGGTTTTGCATTTAATTGTAAAAGTTTCAAAGACAAACAAATTTCTGAATGGAGAAAATGTTCTATAAGTTTTTCATGGAAACCTTTCAGACAAGACGAAAATGGTGTTTATAATATAACATGATTTTCGTTAGTGGGTCATCCGATCTCTTTCTTCGTGCACTAACGAGCAAATTTTCTAATTAGTAAAGTATACACGTATCTGTTTAATTAAGAGAATTTGATTATTAATAAATGTCAATTAATAAAGGAGTTGCAAAAAGCATTTCTCAATATGACGATCCTCATATTTGATAATTCTAATAAATATTTATAAAAACTAAGAAAATATACTACAGTTTTGAACAGGTTATTGTGTAAATAATTATGTTACCTGCAAAGACAGCTGTGTCAAAATCTTTTATTAATATGATGCTTATATGATGATTTTTTTTTTATTTTTAGAGACATTAAATGAAACAACCTTTAATAATAGTGCACCTAATGAGTCGTCAGCACGTACCCATGGAGACTGGTATATACTTTTAGAAAGTGGCATAAATCTAGATCATCTTAAATTTATGCTAATTTTGAGAATGATTTGAAAACTCGTATTTAACCTGAAATTTCAGACATCTTTATGAAATGCGTGTAATAAAAAAAAATGAAAGTCTTGACGGAAATATAAGATGGATTGTTGGATTATTACTCTCTTTCGTTTGACACAGGATAAATTCGTCCTTGTTCTGTCTTATCGAAAGTAATTCACTGATAATATAAACAGGAAGTTAAATAAAGAATAAATCAACTATGAATTACATGAGTACTTTAATATTTGTTATGTTACTTTTAAATGGATCGGTATTTACTTCCTCGTATATCAAGTTTGCATGGTGAATTTTCCCTTTGCTCAAATATATTGCTTTGAATATTTTTCTCTTGAAAATGGAAATTCCATATTTAGAGTTGCATTACTTCCTTTTCAGTGTACAAGTTGTATCCAACCAACGAGCTTTGTCTAAGTCGACCACCCCTAGTTCCTCTATTTCTGATATGCGCAATCAGCTTCCGGCAAACCTAATTGTAACAGGTACCTCACTTACGAAAAATAAAATACTTAACAAAACAATTTTTTTTAATGTAGATACAAATATATGGGTTTTAACGAAGAGTGAAAAATAGGGGTATATGAATATAATGAAAATACCTTGAAAAATAAGACTAAATAAGACAAAATAAAAACGTATATGAGCTAAATGACCTTACATTTTGTTAGTATTTATTTACCAGTGGAATATGAGTATACAATTTCTTCATATAATGCTGTTATGTCAAATTTGTTCATAATATTACTAGGTTCTGCAAATGGCACCGGGGTGGCTTGGGCAGATGACCCATCCGCTCGACATTTTACGCCACCATGGATTCAATCTGGGCATTCCACAATCGGCCAAACGCCATGGCTGTCTCAACTTCCAGCTTTTAACTTAAGCACTAGTATCCCTACATCTACCACCTCCATCGAAGGGAACCAACTCCCCTTGACCATTCCACCTGGATACAAATTGATACAAGATTCTGTCGGACAGCTTTTACTAATACCTTCCGCAAATATTGGTAGGAACTACTATAAATAAATTCTAATTAACACTAAAATAAAACAACATTACCTTTGCATTCTGTAATTAAGAAAAGAAAAATATAACGAGGACCATTTCCACTTATTTAGACATGTATGATCATCATCGTCTTTGGGCTTTTCCTGGAACACACACACCACAGATACAACAAATATTTACAACACAGCAAGCTCCTCTTCAGCATCAAGTCATTGGGAACACTGCTGATCGACCTTCTACCGACTTTACGCTTGGTGTAACGTATCCCCAGCAGTTCCAGACCCTGGTATAGTTTTTGGAAGAATATTAGAAAATCGCTCATATTAGATCGCTTATATTAGAATTTTAGAGTAATATAAAATTTGCTTATCTTTGTCAGGTTGGATTTCCTAAAAAAAAAAGAAAGAAAGTTCTTTATAACTCTTTATAAACAGAATAGACTTCATTTTGTAAAGAGATATAATTTTGAAGCTTCTAATTAAGATAGTTTTAAATGAGTTTCTGTTTAAATAAAGAAAAAGGCTTTTTTAAAATTCTACTTGCATGACAAAGAGGAATAATGCAAGCTTTTATTTCTCTGTTAGTACCAGTCTCGTGATGATCAAATGATAGACAAGAAAAGCGTTCAAATTTTGCAGCCAAAGGTCGTCTCTGATCAAGAGATCTTGGAAAAAGATGTAACAACAGTCAAGGAAGAGGTGGCATCAAAAGTGAACAAAGAAAGGGAGAAAAACGACATTACCAAAGAAGGTAACTAACTATAACAACAATTCTTATTATACATGTTTTTTCTACGCAGCAACCAATTTGTCACAATGATTACTAGATTTAAAGATATACAAGAATAATTACTGTGAAAGTAATCTGTTGATTTTCGTTCCAAGTTTATAGGCATGCAACTCGTATAAATAATATTGCTAATTTTTGCGATTAGAATGAACATTATGAAACGTAAACAGCTCAATTATGCATCAGCTTTCAAAGTAAGACTGTGTTTCAAATACGTGGAGATCGGTCCTTCGGATGAGACTGTATAAACCGAAGTTCCGTGTCACAGTAGGTGCTGGCACGAAGAGAGATCCCTCATTGCTCAAAGGCCTTAAGTACCGAGTCCAGGTCTAAATTTGCAGCCCTCTACCGGCAAGTGGTGGCCTCTCAATATGAGTGAAAAATCTCGAAGGGAGACGATAAACAAATCAAATCAAATAACTGGAACAGAATTCGCTATTTCTCTGAAATAGCTCCAACCAATTTATAAAGTACATTAAACCTAGGAAGATGTTTTATATAAAATTTCTATATGATAAAATCTTTCATTGATTGTATCTGCATCTATTGAAGTGGAAAAATTGTCCTTAGTATTTAACTGAACAGATTTTCTTTGACTTTTTAACAGTATTTTATAGAAAATTTGAATTCCAAATTATTCTTATAATACTACTCTTATTTATTAATATTTAAAGAGCTAATTACAGAAAGCACAAAGTTTACCTGTTATCAAAGAACATGTACCCTATTATTCTGTGTACTCAAAGCTATCATTTCATACAATTACTTCTTCATAAACAATCATTACTGTACAATGCGGCGTTTCTGAAATAAATGCTTAATTGGCCATTTCTTGTCTTTCTTTCAGAAGTACCTGCCGCTAAAGTACTGCCTACTTCAAATCAAGTAGTGTTTCCTCCAGCTTTCAATGCAGCAGTTGTTACCGACGTACCGTGTACCGTAAGTGTGGTGCAGGCTGTCAAAGCGGTGACGTCATTAGTCCAGTCACGTGGCACGTCACCCATGATTCCTGGGACTGAATGCGAAGACACGCCTCAGGAGAAGATAGAGGATGTGAACCAAAGTAATGAAATATCTTCTGTTGAGGTCTCTGGTTTGTGTTCCAAAGGAGTTGCAGCTGTACAAACAGAGAGCACTCACAAAACGTCTAAATCTGATACCAAATGTAAAATTGAAAAAGAAGACTCATTAAAGGATTGTAGTGAAGAGATTACAAGCAATCAGTGTGCTAAAGCGGCTCTTCCTACCACCACAGTCATCGGGGACGTGACAATCGTAGAAATGACACCGGACACTAAATCACATTCACATGAAATCGCATCAAATATTGATCAAAACAAAACAGAGAAACATACCGATCTAATTCCGACAAAAACGGAACAAGATAGCAATAATTACAATCCCTTTTTAGATCCTCAAATTCTTCAAGCAGCAGATGGATTAGAACTTCTAAGTGCCTTGGCCGAACAACGGGCAAAATTTGCCTCCCCTGAAAAAGAAGAGAGTAAGATTGATCAGACAGTTGCGAAAGATCAAACAGAATCAAAAACATATACAAAAACAAACCCAAAAGATACAACTAAAACAAAAAGTGTGGAAAAGAAGGAGTCGAAATCAGCGGTAAAACAAGTGCGAAAGAAGTCAGTGAGCAGGACACGATCCCTCCCACCTGCTAAGCCAGACTGTAAAACCGAAGGAGGCAGTTATTACACATCTTCTGGTCTTCGTATCCCTCAAGGTACACATCTTTTCAGTGACGTCACTTTTTATCGTTGAAGTGCCCAAAATTGCTTTTTAAACAAATCTATTCTTTTGATAGTTCTTCGTAATGATTTTTGCAAGATGAAAAGCACCTAAAGGCATCCATTATGCTGGAGTTTTAAAACTAGAGGGAATATTTGAGAACTGTATCCCAATTCCCTCTATTGATTACGCCTATTAAAACACAGTAGGCCCTTCTCTATTTTAATTTTGTAGTAATCTAATTTCCACATGATTGTATTATATTGCTTTTTTAAAAATTCTGTTTCTTTTATATCTATTTTTCCCCTGTATTTGTTTTTGTTTTATGGTAGTAAAACCGAAGATGATATTCTGCCTATCTCTCTAGAGTTTCTGTTTTATCTAGTTATCTATTTCAAGACTGAGTTTGTATTATTTTATTATATTATGACATTAGCATCGGTTCTACTGTGTCACACACATTACAACTCAAAGAAACAGATCTGGGTTCTTTTCTTGAAATAGGAGACGAAGAAATTAACGCCATAGAACTAGATATGAGAATTCGTCTGGCAGAACTTCAAAGGCTCTACAAAGAAAAACAAAAGTTGTATGCAAAACTACAACCAAAGAAAAACGACAAAGAAAAGGAACGTGTCGAGTACGTCGCAAAATTTATGTTGATTATGTAATCCTTGTTTAAGTGGAAAACAGATACATGAAAATCACAGTGATAAAACTCCTCTCTTAATTCCAAGGCATTCTATCATTTATACAGTAAATTAATCATAAGAAAACTTTAAATAGTAAATTCATTATAAGAAAACTTTAAATGTGAATTTTACATTGTTCCAAGACTGATATATTTTTTTTTGATTAAAAAAAAAAACAACAACATTAGTTTATTTCATGAAAAATATGAGAGTTTTTTTTTTTTTTACCTTCAATTATTTTAATTCAAGTAGGGTTTTATGAATATGTTTCACCTTTTCTATATAAGAACTCTAGTTTTGTGCAAAACGGCTAATCTTAAGGCTCCAAATAATCCTCTTCATTATATTTGGAAAGAAATTCAAAATGACATGTTATTGATTACAGTGACAAGCAGCGGGGACCAGGACGGCCGAGAAAGAGACAAAATACTACCGGATCTCCCCAGGATAACACCAAGTCAGTACATAGTTCAATCTCTTATCTTCTCAACCATTATTTACTTTTTCTTGGAATTGATTACGTAAACTTTGCAATTTCCATGAGAAATGTCAACCGATCTCTAAGCTTTATGGAGAGTTTGATCATTAGTTGTACCCCTACAGAATATACAACAGAGCATTTCGAGTATAGTTAATGGTGATTTTAAGATTAAAAGATTTCTGGAATTAGTTACGCAAAATTAGAAACTGAAGTCGGCTAATGGACCATTTTTGTTACTTTTCATTTATTCATCTGAGCAATCCGATAACAGCCCATCCCTTTTTCATAAAAAGCAAAAAGGTACATTGCCTAGTGGCTTTGTTTGCAAGTTCTGAACAAGCAATTGTTTTGAAATAAGTGGAAACGACAAAGCTGGTGATATGTAAAGTGAAGGCTAATGTTAATTTTGTTCCGTTTTATCCTTGAGAGTGCTAAAAGTGGTTTCCTTTGGCCTTGTTTGCTAATAAATAATTATTTAATCAATTATTTTCCAAAATCTACAAACAACGTCGCAATACATGTGAATTTCACCACTTTTATTATGATGAAGTATTCTATTTTAATAGAAAGAAGCATAATGAAAAAATTTCACTTGAAACGTCCTTTACGTACATTCTCAGCCAAAAATTTATTTTGAAAATAACATATATATTTAGAAGAGAACGTAACATTATATATATTTCACAGTCATCAAGAGAAAAAATCACTTTATTGCAGCTCTGGTGACAAGACTAAGGGGAAAGAACCGCCCGTAAAGAAGAAGAAACAAGCCGAGGAGTTAGTAGATAGGGTGTTTAGAAAAACGGGTGGAGGATTTGGGGTAAGTATGACAACCAAGAAGAAGATAAAGTGAAAATCTCTATCCAAAAATGACAAAAACTGTTGTGATATGGAATATATTATGATAATATTGCATTTAATCAGCTGTACAATTTGATGACAACGCGTGATAAAAGTGTTGTGAAAATCCATTTCATGAGATGAGGCTTACGTAGGTTAATTAAAACTCTATTTTAGATGCCACTTAGCAAAAAGCTGAAGGCTAACGCTATGGCAGCACTTTTTAAGACTCAATCTGGCTTTACTATGAAACGGAAAGGCAGCACATCTGGCGGTCACGCCAGCGAGAACCAGGGTACGTGCTTCCTTAAACAGATCTTGTTCTCTTAATTACGCATTGCTATGCATCCTTCCTCATACTGTAAAATCATATTATACACGACCTTAACAACAGTTCATTTTCTTGTCAGTAGAATTAATTCAAATCGTCATTTAACGGTCTAATTCACAAATAAACAAATTAGACATTTTTAAATACTTTTTTAGAAACGTTTTTTGTATCAAGCTGAATGATATAAAAAAGTAAAAAATGTCTCAATATTTTTTCAGATAATCATTTTCACTTTGGGAAGACTGGATTTTCCACATCTACAGAAAAGCCACTGGACTTCAAGGGTAAATTTCTTTTTCCTCTTTTTATTTGTTTAAATCCATGCAGATGTATTTGTTATATATTGCAGTTATTTAATTTCTAGTATTTATTTAATATTTTTTCCATGTATTTCTTCTCATTTTAGTGAAAAGAAAACATTCTAAATCGGAAGAATCGAAACTAAAATCGACAAAGAAATCATTTCAGAAACGTAAGTATTGAATGTATTTTTTAAAAAAAATTCATTCATGATGCAGCTTTGATGGCATATTAAGATTTTGCATTACTTTAAATTTACTTAGATAATTTATTTGGATCTGCGATGAAGATGTTTAAGAAGATCAAGAAATCAAGTTCACACTCCCATGAAAGTAAGAATTCTATATTAAAGGTTTCATATAAGATGAACATCAATCTTAGAAGTACTAAAAAATTTCATTAAAATAAAACTATTGTTTATAGAAGATAAACACAGATACAAGTACCAGGATGGACTGTCAATGCTTGCAAACTATGCCGTCTGCCACCAACGAGAGCAGGAACGATCGTCTTTTCGAGATTTGCACGAGAACTCGCAAACATCACATAAGAAACAGAAGGATAAGAAAAGGCGCGAAGAGAAGCATGAAGATCGGGCTGAAAGCAGACGCGAAGATAAGGAGAGATTGGTTGATAAACATGAAGACGAAAGCAAAGAGGGGTTGGAAGATCGATTAAGTCTGTGTAAGACTGAGCATGATATTCCAAACGTTTTGGAGAGCAAAACAACTGTAGATTTTGAGTCCTTGTCTGCACTTACTAAACCGCATGTTTCTACTAACACTGACATTAAAGGTAGTATCACCTTTTATATAGTTAAAAATAAACGTTATTACTAATCATTAAAGGTATTTGACTTTCTCTTCCCTTTATTGACTGGTTATTCATGAGTTCGAATCTCTGCCGATCGGACTTTCGACTTTGAAATATGTAGGTATCGACTGCTACTTGCCAAACGTGGTCCCTTTTAAGATACAATCACAGCATAAGACCAAATATTACACTACATAATACAGGCTAAAATTTTAAAATAAGACAATATCTTTTTTTGTTGGTGAGATTTTAATTTTAGAATAATAAAATATGCCCACCAAAAATATCATTTTTGAATATATTTTATATATTACATTTTTGTGACACCGTGTAAAAAGTTGAATCAGGTTACATTTGTCATATCCATTCTTTTTTTTCCTTCAAGTGTTAATGTAGACTCATTCATCATAAAGGCATATGTTTACCCATCCAGTAAAAGAAATAATCAATAATTATGACAATGATGATAATAAAAGAATGAATAATCCATCCGAAATGAAAAGTACAGACGAAAAATATTTCTCCATAGAGTTCCGTGTCGCAGTGATTAAGTAAGATAAATAAGATGTACATGAACACTGCAGACGCGTCTGAATCACCAGCGTGGAAGGAAAAGGGCCTTTATGTTTTGCATGTTATGTAATATGTCAAATTAATGCATCATGAAATATTATGAGGGGAATTTTAATTCAGAATACATGAAAAGATATAAGTATATATATGGAAAGAAAAATAAAAGCCCATCATGAAATTCCAGTTGTAAAAACAAAAGGAGATTGGTTCATTTTCTTTTTTATTGATTAAATTATGTCAGATATTTTATTCATTAACATCTGTGACACGTCAAGCTTTCTCCTGAAATGTTTATTGTTAAAAACAACTGATGCTGTATATCAAATTACTTAATATCAATATTGTCAACCACGCTCCAAATATCACATCAAATTTATTAACGATCGTTGGCCATTAAAATCTACAATTTCCTCATTGTGGATTATCAAGTCCTTCCGATAATGAATGAAAAAAGGCTGTAATAAAAGTCGAATTGATATTGCCTTTCAGATTCCGAGAAAACGAGCAAGAGCGAAACTCCTTCAAACAGTGGAAATAAAAAAAGGAAGCCTGGAAGACCCAGAAAATGTACCCCAGATCAGTCAGAAAATGGGACAGGTGTGTTTGTATGTGTGTGTGTGAAAAATTGAAATTGATTAAGCTCAATCAAAGCTCAATCGAAATTGAATCAAACTATCATTCCACACTGAAAGCTGAAATTTCGGTGGAAAAATTTATTTATCACAATGATTGCCAGTTGTTTAGCAAAATATATTTTTTTCATCGATTTTACCTAAAATATCCAGACCTGCTAGATGATGGCAAATTCACATATTTTCATGGGGTCAAATTTTTGTGGTTTGAGGAAAAAATATGGGTTCATGGGAATTTGATTTCGTAGATGAAGAATTGTTGATTTTTAATATATGTAAAAAAAAAAAAAAAAAGGACATTTCGTGGTGGATATAAATTCGGGGGTCTCCTCCTTCCACGAAAACAACGAAAATTTAACTTCTACGAACATTTATGATTTCACAGTAAAGCAAAGAAAAAATTGAACTACACTTAATACTTAATTACTTAGAATATGACCACAGACAGAGAAAGTTTAACTAAGCTGGTCTTGAGGTAAATTGACAGTACTTATTTTAAGCTTTGAACTTCTGCATCCGAACAAACAACATAATCATATATTCTTTTCTGTGGTAGAAACAATTGTTGCAAAGACGGCCAAGAATTTCAGACTGTACCAACTTCAGAATTTTGAAAAAGACAGAAAGATAAAGGTATGATAATTGAGTATATATATATATATATATATATATATATATAACCTGTTTAGTTTTTAACTATGGATGCCTTTCCTCTTCCTAAATATCAGTTTGCCGGAGTTGTATTCCCTTATACATGGAAGAGAAAAATTGTATATATTTAGAGAAAAATGGCGAAAATAAAGAATGTATTCAACTCCAAAGTTAAAATTTAAATTCAATGTATTCATTTGAGTTGAAATAGCATTGTTAAAAAAATGTAAACTACAATACATTGTTCACTGTTCGTTATCCTCACCTTTCACATTTATACGTAATTTCTCTGATGAACAGAAAAATAACAGGTGATTCTGAGAAAGAAAAATCAATCTTTATCTCTACTGTGTGATATGAATTCCTAGAAAATTACCCTATCCCTTTTAGATGGAAAACCAGGAAACGATGAAACCTATATATCTAGATGAGGAGTGGTTACGAAGGCGAAGTGAGCGCATCTTCTTGAGTGATCCCAGCCCGCAGCCATCGCCAAACTTAACGTCATCCACAACACAGCAAAGCAAATCAGCAAATCAGCCACAGACGGCATCTACAGTGACAAAAGTGACAAAACCTCACTGCAATCAGGCTAAATTACAAAAGGCTAAAAGTATCAAAGAGTTGACTGACAAAGTCAAGAAAAAGTACTCAAAGAAGTTTCAGAAGAATACAGACAAGATAGAAGTAATTACTTGTAGTTTAGATTCCTTCCTGCAATTAATGCTAGTATCATTTTTTTTAAACATCTGTAATTGTCATGATTTGATGTGGCTTGTCAAAACAAATACTATGTTTGTTGAACAATGTTTATATGCATATTGTAAATAACAAGAAAGCACATAGTACAGGTGCATTTAGAAAGAAAATCCTGACCAAAAATATTTTTTTAAAAAAAAGTTGTTTCCCCCAAAGGGTCTTTTAATCTCTTAGAGCTTTAGGAAAACAAAAGATAATTTTTCTCTTATTGCAGAGGAGACCACCACACAAAAAGCAGCCAAAATCGAAGGCTTTTATCGACTCCGACAGCAGTAGTGAGAGCGAGAGTGATGCAGACAATATACCACTCAGCGTGCTCCGAGATCGCCCCCACACTCCAGGTAAAGAAAATATTGGCATCTTCATTTGACGTGAAGTCGATAGGTATTTCCGTATATCTTGAAGATCCCAGACATACTTCACCAACTCATATCATTCTTAAATAATAAAATTTGTACATTTAATTGCATCTGTATTCTGTAACTACACGAAAACATCCAGAGTGTTTGATATGTGCATTATTTATTAAACAAGACAAATAAAACTATGTTGTTGGGTATTGAATGTTTCGGCTTTTAAATGAACCCATACAGTATATGTATATCGTTATATAAGTTTCATTATAAATATAAAAATAACCTTTGAGATTAATAATTGAAAATTGTTTTAATTAAAGTTTCGTATTTAATATTCAAATTCATCACAGTCACATTTGAAGGTATACATGTATAAAGTCAACTCCAAGTAAGTAATACGTATTTACATTCAGAGCCTAAAACGTGTACCATAGATAAAGATGAGTTGGTTGATGGATTAAGAGTCCTGGTTTTCAAAGATGGTTTATTCTACGAAGGAGCTGTTAAAGCGATTCGTCCACCAGACGTTTACGGTGTTGTTGTGGATAATGCACGGGGAAATCGACCTTATATTTACTCACAAGAAGAAATGCTAAAGGAAGTGGTAAGTCAATTGTCAATTATAGAGAGAGAGAGAGAGATTTCCACTTTTAACAGCAATAAATTGTTGCCAAATTCCAAAAAGATTATTATTATGTATAATAGATCCTAATCTGAAATTTTATCGACTATATAAGGATAATTAATATTAATTTATTAATTTATTTACTCTGTGAAAAGAATTTTTCATAGTCATTTTTTTCTCATTTATACTTTTGTCACTTTAGATTTTAGATGTAAGGCCTCAGTCCTCAAAGGTTCTTAAAGAAGGAACCAGAATCTGTGCATACTGGAGCCAGCAGTTTAGTTGTCTTTACCCAGGCACTATTGCAAAAGGTATGTAAAAATAACTTTGGTTAAAATGCAGAAAGTTTGTAAATAGTTAACGGTGATTACAATTGATTGATTGACTGATTGTATGTTGTTAAACGTCCCATTCGAGAATTTTTCACTCAAACTGAAACTTCACCGTGTGCTGGTGAAGGGCTTCAAATTCAGACCTATACTCGGCACTGAGGGTCATCGCTTACCGTAACACGGGACCTCGGATTTTAAGGTCTCATCCAAAAGACCCGTGACTTTGACTTCTAATGCAGGGTGTTTGGCGAAGGAACAGTCATTTCCTATGTTACCTTAGGTTTGACACGGCTCAGCGAACGAGAATCGAACCCGGACTCCCCTATCACGAAGCGAACGCCCTACACTAGGCTACCGTGACCGGATGATTACAATTAAAAATTTATGAATATGTTATAATTTAACAAAGCTATATTGTAGCAACATGTAGTAAAAACTGAAGATAACGAACAGTGATCTATCTCATAAATCCAGTAAACAAAACAAATCGTGGATAGGTAAAGATATGGACCAGAGATTCTGGAAAAGTTAACATTGTTAAGGTATAAAAATTGTTGGAATCCCATAATGCTAGATCGAGTTCGGTAATTCTTGGAAACGATTATTTTTAAAGTTTAAATTAATTATGAAGAATACTTTGGAGTAACCATGAAAAAAAGGAAGAAAGATTCTGAATGTGCTGTTTTTGTGTGTAAAAAATAAAGTGAGTCAAAACAAGGTATTTCGAAAAATGTTTCTTAGTTTATTGTTCATAATGCCTATAAATTTATCAATTTTGTCATTTGTAGCATTCTTCATAACAATGAATACGAAATAAATTATATAAATATTTACAAAAGAATTGCATAAACTAAGCACAAAGAAAAATATATTTAGTTTCTAATTTACACATTAAAAGCTCATATGAGTGGTGATATAAATCTTTTAATAATAACACTTCGATCTTTATTGGTTTTTATTTTGAAAGATTCTATTTTTATAGATTATAAAAACAGTCAGACCCCCATGGTTTGTTTTTCGTTCGATGTAAAACTTAAAGAATATTTAGTTATTGTACTGATCAATGATGGGATAAAAATAAAATACGTGCTGTCTGTTTTGTGTGATGAAATTATAAATAGTATAAAAAAAACATGAATGCAACACGTTGTTGTTATTTCAAGGTTGTATTGTAAAGTCTCCCTTCCAATTTACGAGGTAATTAACGCAAAAAAAAAAATTGAAGTATATTCACAAAAATCTGCGTTAATTTTGATTTTCTGAGAAGTGAGATAGTACATATCTAATGTAATTTTTGTTACCGAGTTGAAAATGATAAATTATTCACCGTTGTCCTTTTTTCTGTGTTTGAACAGCTAGTCCCAATCCTCACTCTGATAAATCCAGCATTAATGTCGAGTTTGATGATGGAGATTCAGGGAGAATACCACTTGATCACATCCGAATGCTGCCACGTGATTTCCCAGTTGTCTGTAAGTACAGAGAGGGAAAATAATTAACCATGGTCCAAGTTGTCTTTGAGTACATAAAGGGAAAGTACTAAAACACCCACCTATACCCTTTTTTCAATTAGTATTTGATACCCTGTGACATCTAAAAGGTCCCTAAAGGAAAGATTAATTTTTTTAACATGATATTACGTTGCATTGGTTTATAGTAATATTCGAATTTCTTTTTTATATAATTTTTTTTTTTTTTGAGTTAACCATGCCAGAAACTTTTAAGTCTTGTTGGGAAGGAAGGTTATTGAAAAGGTTAAGGATTATGTAAATTATAGTACTTTAGCAAGAGTAAGCAAGAGTTCCGTAGTTGAACGGTCTTTAAATGCGAAATATTTCATTACCTGATAATTAATAGAGTGTTGGATAATCAATGTTACTGGGAATTTGTAATTGAATGACACATGCATAAATCTGATGAAAAGGTTTAAGTTATTTTTATCTCGCATCGACGAAATCGAGATGATTTAATGCTATATCCCAGGCGAAGGTGTGAGCGTCAACATCCTGGTTGAAGATTTTGGAGCAACTCCATTCCCAAGCCCTATTACAACCAAACTTACATGGATGGTGCAGCTAGGGATACTACCAGATTTCAATTTTTCCCAATTTGGCAGTATTTTTTCCCAATTGGTGAACAATGCTTTTATATTTAATTATCTTGGAAAAACTAAGTAAAATTGTCAGATTGTCTGTAATTTTCCTCTATTGATCTCATTTAGAAAAGCTATTGTTTAAAACACTGTAAACATCGCCGACTTTTAATCCGAATTTCCTCCGTTTTTCTGAAAATGGTGTAATGTTGTGTAATAATATAGATTTATTAAGATATTTCCACCTACTCAATTGATCTATGAGTGAATGGTAAGAACTGTAGGCATTATTTCAGATGGAAAAATATATCTGCAATGCATTATTATATATTAAAATGGGACTTTGAGAAAATGTGTACTTAGTATAATTTTTTGCAGGATGTTTATAATCTCCAGAAATATATTATAATGACCTAAATTGGAATCTCATACACACATGTACTATCCTAAGTTGTATAATTTAAAATACTTGATACTCATTGGGGTTAAATTTAGGTTCATTAGTCTATTGTTTCGTAATTGATCTTGAATGTTGAAGTTGGAAAATATTTACTTGTCTGTTAATTTGGGTGCCCAAATTAGAGTTCATGCAGAAATGTTAAATGTATTACACCTGAATACATGATGTAAGCAAGATTTTTTATTTTTCCCAATTTCATCAAAAAGCCGATAATTTTTTTTCCAATTCCCTAAAAATGGCGTTTCCCAAAATAGGCTGTTAAATCCCTGGCATCAAGGGACATTTTAAAGATGATTGGCAAGATTAAAAATTTTTGTAGTAGATTCATTCCTAGGTACCTTTAATTCCTATCTAGACCAATTTTACATGGATGTTGCAATATACGGATTCACATTACCAGAACATTCATTTGGTCTAAGAGTTTGCTTTACTTGTAGATTATATTTGTCGAGGTGACCTTTGTAATCCTTGATTATCTATGATTTGAATATGGTGTTTGTGCATCCCCCACATATACACAAAGTTTCAAATTTAAATCAACACGAACATTCGATAACGTTTTCTTTCATTATATTGCAGCTTATGACCCTAACCCTCTGTTGCTTATTGGTAAGCGTAGAAGACACACCACATCTGAAAGTGTTGAATCATCCACAAAGTTATCTGAAAGATCTGAGAGCATGGACTCAAAACCAGCTCAGAAACGGGGCCCTGGTCGACCCCCAAAGCCAAAGCCTGACAGAAAGGATGAAGAAGACTGTGATATTGATGTTTGCGGACTTGATGACGACATAAATGACGTGTTTTCACCATCTGCCAACAGCAATCAAAAGAATGTTTCTCAATCAAATAGTAGTGAAGATAGAAAAACTGAGAAAAACAAAACGAACAAATCCAAGAAGGAAAAGTCAAAGGATTCAGCTAAAAGTAACCAAGAACAAGGTAAAAATAAGTTTTATCACAGTCTGGGAAATTTGAAGAAGGCGTCTTCTCTCGATAAAAAACCTTTTTACAAGTCAACCCCTTCATTGTCTCGAAAAGGCGGAAGTGACGTAAAAATGGAACAATCTACGCATTCTCAAGATGTAAATTCGGTTGATGACACAGAAAGAGGTAGAACAATATGTACTCCATTCAACAACTTGAATAGATCTAGTACAATTGAGCCAAAGGCGGCAGGTACGACTTCAATGTGACCTAGCTGGCTTACAGTGCTTTCTTGTATTTGCCCGTCTGTCTCCTAATACAAGCTACAGTGTATCACTAGCTTCGCCTCCTCGTATGTGCACATTCTTTAACGGAACACATAACTTGTATTACGTCAGAAGCTCAAAAAAATATAACACAGTAATCAAACTTACCAGCTATGATATAGTTATTGTTGCTTAAAGGTCTGTTTTCTCATATGACTTAACTACATTTATCTTATTCTCCTTTGAACTGTGTTTTCCTCAATAGCCAACCTTTCTGTTTATTGAACTGACTTGTAGTATTTAGGTAGAAAAATCATAAATGATATACTTTGTGTAATTATACAATGTTGTTAAGGTATCGGTTCTTTGGTGATACTTGCAGCATTTATACCTGCTCGACAACTCTGGGAATGGTCTGGAAAAAGTACAAAAAGACCTGGATTAAAAGGGAAGGCAAAGAAGGAATTCTACCGATCTATTATCAGGAACAAAGAGCATATATCCGTGAGTAGAAGCATTCAAAGCCTAAAATACTTTACTTGTAATGTATGGTATTTGATAATAATAAAATTAATTATGTTTATTAAAAGCTGACGATTTTTATTTTTCGAGGGACAAAAGTTTAAAGATAATGATATATCTATAGTGTATTTTCATTTTCCAAAATATAACCAAGATATAATTCCAAACTTTTAACATGGTATTGTAAGATATATATCATTTACAATCCCATCTTCAAAGTTCGTATTACCATTCAGGTTGGGGATTGCGCAGTGTTTCTATCCACCGGACGTCCTCATTTGCCATATGTGGGCAGAATAGATAGCATGTGGGAGGCATGGGGAGGACAAATGGTGGTCAAGGTCAAATGGTTCTACCACCCAGAGGAAACCAGAGGTGGAAAGAAACTACACGACATGAAGGTATGGCACTTAAATTTGTGTTTTTGGGGGGTTGGTTGGTTGGTTTGTTTTTATTATGATTTTTTCTTTTTTTTTTTTCTTTGTTTTGTGTTGGTTTCTCTTCTTCTTATTCGTATTATTCATTTACCTGATACATAAAATTATTAACGTTATAAGTGACGAATCAAACTGCATGTCCAACAAACCAGAAAAATCAGAAATTAAGGTACAATACGAATTCACTTTCCTATCTTGCTTTCAGGGTGCTTTGTTTCAGTCTCCACATATTGATGAAAATGATGTTCAAACAATTTCTCACAAATGTGAAGTATTATCTTACACGGAATACAGGAAAACACAGAGACCTGATAATCTGGTAACAAAGGAAACAGACGTTTACTATTTAGCGGGGACATATGAACCGACTATTGGACTACTGAAGTTTGAAAAGGACGTGATGTAATTTACGAAATATGTTGATAACATGTCTTTGTGACAATGTACCGCAAACAAAAATGTTGAAATAATTTGTTAATATTTGTAGTTGTTAAAAACTGTGATAAGATTTTTTATGTTCTTAAATATAAATGTCCGTAATATTTTCAAAACATTAAATAACAAGTAGCTGGCAATTTATTTCTGAAGAACGGACCTTTTTGAATTAAAAAAAAAGGTTTTTAAAAGATAATATTTAAACAGTTCGACACGCAAGTTTACACAGTTTCTCTCCAATGACAACTTCTTGTGAAGTTATTCCATCCTTTCATTTGTTATTATATATTTTAAAGGTTATTTTTAAAGCTTTTGAAATATATTTTAAAATTGTATTTTCAGTGTTTGAATATGTGCATTTATTATTCCAAATAACTTTAAGGACATAATAATTAAGTGTTAATGACTTACTGGAGTGCTAAAATTACATTTAGGATAATGAAATATGTTATTTTTACTACTGTTAAATTTTAGCTATAGAATATTGTACACACTATGGCAGAAAGGTGCTTTAGATATCATTATTATGATTTTGGTTATACCTGTATATGCAGGATAACTTGATTTTAACGTATCTTTTATCCAATATGCTTTGCATTTTATTTTTTTGTTGTTGAAATTCCAATATTGAGGACGCAAATAATGTTACTTCATATATATATATATATATATATATATATATATATATATATATGATATAATGTAATTTTCAAATCTTTGTGCTTACATTTTGTGTTCATCTATTATTCCAAATCATTCTGTGCTTGTTTAAACACCGCATTCTTTGATGTCCCTTTTGAAAATAACTTTTTTTGTTCTGCAGCTACGACATAATTGTGCTGAGAAGTATCCATGCATTACTGTGTATATAATGCATATATATAAGTGCAATAGCCATGCTTTTGAAAAATAAGTATACATGATATAATCTGGTTGCACGTTGAGTCTTTCATGAATGTTGGAGTCAAGCCTTATATCAATATCCATTCGCTAGTTCGTTCCGCTAGTTCGTATGGCATCGTTTTCTACAAAGAAAAAGCAGTGTTTGCTTAGCTCAAAGGGAACAGTAATTATTATTTTGAAATATGTTCTTTTAGTGCTTTAGAATTCCATTTCTTGAAAAGGATTTTGAGATGAGGCTTGAAAAAAATACTTGTTGATATACAGTGGTTGTTAACTATGTTAATATTGAGTATTGTCAAAATATAAGTATTTTTGGTACAAAAGCTTTGATTGAAAGAGAGTGTGATAGATATACGCTTATAAGAATAAGAGTGAATCTCTTTAAAAATCTTATATTTTTAACTGCAGTCAGACAGTGTCTCAAATAAAGAAACTACAGCACGAGTTACTTGTTCTTTTTCATCAATTGACTGAGGACACGAACTGCACGTTGGAGTTAAGGTTCTTTTACTGTTTCTCTTTCTAGACACACGCACACAACACAATATTAATTTACCTTTATTGCTTGACACCTCTTACAATCCTATCAATCTGTCACCAAGATACGCTTTAAAACAGTACAAATAACACGCACCATTCCTTTTAAGACTTGAGTACAAACCTCAGAGACAAAATCGTGTACATTGTACTTTGAAAATGTTAGATTAATGTCGGAATACGTGATACATATACTAGCAACTCAATTTGGAGAGAAAGAAAGAAATGCAAGCCGAAACTCTATTGGATAAATGACTTAAGGAAATATACAGCTTATATGGCTGTTACAAAATTAGATTGTAATAATGTCATCATTTATTCATTTATGAAGCTGTTTATGACTATAGGGAAATAGAACATCTTTGTGCTCACCGAGTTTTATAGAAGTTAAGGCGACGTGTGCTTCGCAACCATTTACGTCAATCAGCTTCACTGCAGGCGTCATTGGTTTCTTTGGAGATGTCCCTGCTTTACTATGACCAAGGCAGAGAAACACCTACAGAAGCGCAAAAGATGTTCATCTTATATTCACTCTTTAGATTTGAAGGTGAAAAAAAATTATTTTGCTTAAATTTATTTACTTTGTCATTTATTTTAAAATGGGTCGCGTATCACTCTCATACACACTCAAAATAGACACATTACCTATATTTAGATTTTTGCTTCAAGGTTTCTATAACCCACCTCTGCATCAAAATTAATATATTACTAGTAGGTAAAAACACTTTATAGAAACTAAAATCAAACACTCTCTTCCAATATAATATATTAGCAATTCTTTTTGGCAAATTTATAACCAAATAAGGACACAAAACTGAGATTCAGCCTCGCTTGTCAATGGTAATTACTATACATATATATATATATATATATATATATATATATATATATATATATATATATATATATATATATATATATATATATATATATATATATAATAATGACCATTTACAAGCGAGGTTGAATTTCAGTTTTATATCCTCCATTGATTATAAATTTGATTGACGATGTTACGAAAAAACTTTATACGTAAAAGTCATCAAAATCAAAATATTTAATTAGTACATGGATATACAAGGAAAATTGGATCAAGTTGTTAAAACTTCAGAAACAAATATTAATAGTAAAAATGGTGAACATATTAAATATCCATTATCCATGCATCATTGAAAACTACTTCAAGCAGAGAATTTTGCAAATTCTGTCTAGATCAAATGATTATCATTAACGGACATTAATAGATTAATTCCCCATTCTCTGCTAATTTTAGTAACATTAACTCTATTTATATCTGTTATATGGTTCTAGCTTGTGTTCCGTGCAACTTTTCCTAATCACCATTTGTGAAAATCTAAAATCGAATTTGACTGAAAAACCTCCGTAGGTTATACGGTGTATGAGAATTTTGCCATATCATTATAAGAGAGAAATTACACAACTTACACCCAAAGAAAGCCTTATACACGTCTGTTGTACTTAGAAATGAGTCTTTATCAGACCAGTTTCATCGACAAAGGTCGCAAAGCAATTACGTTTAAGTCTGATTTGAACTTGGTTTTACATGTTATTCTTTAACAAACAAAATTACAAAAAAAGACAGTGGAGATAAACTTCGCGGTTAAATACAATGTAGTTTCGAAAAAGGCAATAAAAAAGAGCTCAGCATTAAACAGAAGGTTATAAATTGTAGAAAAAAGAAAATGCTTCATTTTTAAGAGAATCAATACTCACATAAAAAGAATTTCTGGAGAAACATCACTTCTTATTTTTTTCTTATTATACACCTTGTTCGTCCCCTAGTGTGACACCATGCGGCTTTGTCTTGAAAGTTTCAAATTTAACAATAGAAGCATAGAAAATCCAAGCAATCATGTGACGTCTGATGAAATGATCCTCAAAAAGATGTTAAAAATCGAAGCTAATGATTACTAATCATAAATATCGTTAAATGGGTTACAGATACAAATATGTAAGAAAAGCACAGCATAAGCAAATAATTATATTAGGAGTATATCTATTTAACCAAAGAAAAGATAGTAGCATGTAGTTCAATCTAGTCTGTACAGAATCAGTTGAATGAATTTTGTCTTTATATGAACCTTTTTATAAAATTGGAAGTAATCTGAGATCCAGAAGGTGGGGGAGGGAGAAGGGAGGGGGGGGGTAACACGGTCAAAAATGTCCTCACAAACAAAAGAACTACCAAGGTAAGCATGGCTTGTCTTGATGGTTTGTCGTGGTCTAGATCACGAACTGTTCAATATGCATTGTTGCAACCACAATTGAAATAGTAATTTCAATAGTGGTTGAGAGTGCATTTCAAAACCAAATACATATTGTAACTACTATTGAAATAACGTTCACAATTGAAATAATTATTTCAATAGTGGTTGAACGTGCATTTCAAAACCGAAGACAGGTTGCAACCACTATTGAAATAATGTTCAGTATTGAAATAAAGATTTCAGTAGTGATTGAAATAAAGATTTCAATAGTGATTGAAATAATCATTTTAATAGTTGCTGACAATGATTTCGATACTAAAACCACATTGCAAGCCTTATTGAAATAACCCGACTATCAAATTACATTTTTCAACATAATTATATTTTTTTTGAGTTTAAAATATGATGTGTAAATTTATGTTTTCCTTTCTTTCTAGAAAATAGCATTAATACACTGACATCTTTGATTTAACTGACGCACCTTAAATTCAAACAAAGCTTTGCAAATGTTATTTGCAAGCTTCCGCTGAATTTGGCCGACTCGGCGAAAACCAACAGACAATCAATCAATATATGCAAGTTTTAAGTAATTTTGATATATACATGTATGTTCATCTTTGCCATTGATTTGGAAAGGAAAGGATCACAAATACAGATAGTTGTACATGTAGAATATCAACATTAAAAAGAAGAAAGAAGACTGATATCCATGTGTACAAACCTTCTGATGAAGATATGGTTATTTTTAATAAAAAGAATATAGAATAGAACTAAATTCTCGCATATATTCATGGGCTTGCCTACACTTCAAATATGGATAGTAAATCCAACGTCTACTCGTCAAGACATTCAAAAAAAATTAACGGGAAGTTAGTGTAAGCATTACTTGTATTACAATAGTGGGTGTTATTTCAATAGTGGTCACGCATATAAAACCGCTATTGAAATAATTTCCACTATTGAAATAGTTATTTCAAATCTGATCGTTATTTCAATTGTGGTTGCATTAATACTACCGCTATTGAAATAACATCATTCTACTATTGAAATATTTTTTTTTCAAAAGTGGTCATTATTTCAATAGTGGTTGCAACTTTACCCACTATTGGAATAATGATCACTACTGAAATAATATTTCAATAGTTGATATTATTTCAATAGCGGTGTAACAACAATTGTAATAACAACCTCTCATAGCGCCTATACTTAGTTTTTTTGAATAGTTGATTTCAATGTATATGCGAAAATTTACTTCTATTCTATATCCTTTGATTAAAAATAACGATATTATCATCAGAAAGTTTGTACACATAGATATCACATAGATGTCTTATTTCCTCTTTTTTAATGTAGATATTCTAATTTCTACAACTATCTATATTAATAATCTTTTTCCTTACCCAGTTAATAGCAAAGATGAACGATATATAACAAAATAACTAAGAATTACTAGATCAGTTAAAGCACAGATATCCGTGTATTAATAGTATTTCTAGACAGAAATTAAAACATAAAATTACTTACCATATTTTAAACTCAATAAATTAATTTATCATGTTGGAAAAGATAATAAAGAATTTATTCTTTTTTTTCAATAGTGGGGTTATTTCAATAAGGCTGGCAATGTGGTTTTGGTATTGAAATTACCCTAACAAAAAAATACTATAGTAAACTATAGGTAACTATAGTTTACTATAGTTAACTATAGTAAATCAAAGTTTCAAAGTTTTCACTATAGTAAATCAAAGTTCCAAACTTTTCACTAAATCATATCAACGTTTCAAAGTTTTCACAATAGTTTATCAACTTATTAAAGTATTACACTACATCTGCATTAAATTAAATACATTTATTTTAATAAATGTCTCATCTATCGGCGCGAGAAACAACCTCACATTAAAATTCATTTCTTGTACATTAATTTTTTTAAGGGAAGTGATCGGGTTTATAAAAAGGTCTTTGAAGCTTTTATGAATTTTGACCATAAAATATCATATTATGTCAGAATGGGAATCAAAAACATAATTCCACGGGTTTCACTATAGTAAATCAAAGTTTTCGCTGTTTTTATTATAGTTAATCAGAGTTCCAAAGTTTTTACTGTAGTAAATCAAATTCCAAAGTTTTCACTGAGGTAAATCAAAGTTCCAAAGTTTTTACTATAGTTAATCAAAGTTCCAAAGTTTTCACTATAGTACATCAAAGTTCCAAAGTTTTACTTTGATACTATAGTAAACTATGGTTAACTATAGTATTTTTTGTTAGGGCATTGTCAGCAACTATTGAAATAATTATTTCAATCACTACTGTAATCTTTATTTCAATCACTGTTGAAATATTTATTTCAAACACTATTGAAATCATTATTTCAATCACTATTGAAATCATTATCTCAATCACTATTGAAATATTTATTTCAAACACTATTGAAATCATTATTTCAATCACTATTGAAATCATTATTTCAATCACTATTGAAATATTTATTTCAAACACTTTTGAAATCTTTATTTCAATCACTATTGAAATCATTATTTCAATCACTATTGAAATCTTTATTTCAAACACTATTGAAATCTTTATTTCAATAGTGACCATAATTTCAATAGTGATTGCAACTTGGTTAAGGCAAGCATTCAAAACCTCTAGTGAAATCATTGTCTCAATAGCAAACGTTAT